CAAGAGCGGCGGTGATGAAAATTGTGGCCAGAAATTTCTTTCAATGCGCATAGCCGGTCCTGAAGAGGAATAACATTCATTCCTAATTCGGTGGAGTGTCAACTTTAACGTTGATTCAATTAATTTACAAGTAAACCTTAAAGAAGCAATTGATTGCTAAGGTGTCGCAACAAAAGTGGCCGTCGCCTAAAAAACTCCAGCGTTTTTGTTTGCCACGGCAGCAGTAGTTCTGGTTTGCTTCCCTCTGAACGCCATCGCAACATCATTACAATTAACACTTTATGTTGTCTTTTCAAATTACTATCTTCATTCCCAACGAAGTTATGAGAGATTTTCTTTTTTCAGATGTCCGGTTTCTCCTTCGAATCGGTATTTTGTGGATCAGATGCCCCGTTCAGACCATCGATGACAGAAAGACCAAACAGTCCAGTTAGCAAGTTAGCAAAAAGCAAAGCAGAATTGGAAATGTTCATGAGAAAAACACCACTCATGGTTCTCGAAGAGGGAGCGAAAGGCTCTTTCCAACAAACGCCTTCGTGGGCATGCTCAGAAATTCCAAATACTGTTGGTCTAGAATTCGAAATGACATTGAATTTGAGAGGAAAAACTGTGAAAGCTCGAGGAAACAGCAAAAAAATTGCAAAGCAGAAGGCTGCTCTCGATTATCTTCACCATATGGTCAATGATGGTAAAAGTGCCGAGTTCTCGATTCCAGGTGAAACTGCTGAAGAAGCTCATGCTAACCTGTAAGAGATAAATTGGGCTCCTGGACGTTTCAGAACCCGACGTTTCGGAACCACGACGTTTCCGAACCCGACAGTTCAGAACCCGACGTTTCAGAACTTTTCTGCATTTTTGTATAGTGGTTTTTGCGCACTAGATGAGCATTGCTCATTTCAATTTTGTGTTTTTCTGCTTTTTTGTTCATTCTCATCTACCGTACTCCAAATAATGATAGGTTCACACTGGGTATCTCTAGAACGATGTCTTTTTCAAGAACGATGTCTAGAAGTACGCAATAACTTTTCCGGCGAATAGAAGTCTCATTTTGAATGATTTTATTAATGTCATCGTTTTTTAAAAGTTCAACTTTTACGATTTTTTGAGAGATTCCCAGTGTGAATTTGGAGTACGGTAGATGAGAATGAACAAAAAAGCAGAAAACACAAAATTGAAATGAGCAATGTTCATCTGGTGCGCAAAAACCACTATACAAAAATGCAGAAAAGTTCTGAAACGTCGGGTTCTGAAACGTCCAGGAGCCATAAATTGGAAACGATGATAGCATCAAAACAAAAAATATTTAGAAATACTATTGCCGAAAGACCAGTTGAGGAGCCGAAGCGGGCAGCAGCAGCAGTGTCCGTAAAAGATGTGGATAAGTCTATCCCAACTGCCAAATCATTCCCAGAAAATGTCCCAGAGAAGAACTATGTTGGAGCTTTACAAGAAAAATGTCAAAAACACAAATTAGAAGCTCCTGCTTATGAAGATAGTAAAATCGAAGCAACTTCCGAGTTTATGGTTACATGCACGGTGAGTTATTTTATATTTTCCGAACGGATGTTAATTGAAGCGAACATTTCTGTTCGAATAAAGGTTTTCAGATGTTCAATAATCTATCAATTTTCAGATGGGGAATCAACAAACAAGAGGAATCAAACCAAAAATCAAGTTAGCGAAAAATCTTGCGGCCTGGCTCATGCTGAAAACATTAGAAGAAGGAGTTGAAGCAGTTCAAGCATTCGATTTAAGTAAGTATCTTCTAGTTTCCCGTTTTTCGATAATGATTTCCTTTTTTCCAGCTGAGCAGTTTGACGAGTTAGAAGAAGAAGAAGACCGAGCGACTGCTCAGAAGGCAGCTTTCGAAACGAAAGATAAAAAGTCTACTCTAATCGACCTTCTTTCTGATAAAGCAAGATTCGCTGACTACAGAATGGAATTTGTGTACCCTAGCGTCAGCACTCATGGAGTTCATCAAGTTCTTCTGAACGTTTTTATTTCTCGACCAGTCAGTCCAGACGATGATTTGCAAATTGGAGCCGAACACACACAAACTGAAGAGATCATGAAAGCCACTGCGGAGAAGGAACGGGAGCAGAAAAAAAATATGCCAGATGTGACTCAAAAAACATTTTCTGGTCATGGTCCTTCTGAAGAAGCCGCTCAGCAATGCGCATGTAAATCGGCACTCATCCATTATTATACATTCGACTTCACGAATTGAGATTGTATTCTTGTGAAATAAATATTAACTTTTTATAAAATGTTTTTTATATGTGAAATTGTATTATCTGCTGGGTGTTGCAACCACTTCAATGTTATTTTCTGATTGTTCTTTGTGCGCTTCCTTCATAGTTTCCATCTCCTCGTGTCAGTTTGGTACTATAGTCGTTCTTTCTGCCCGCGCCGCGTGGTTAGATTGTGTACTAAACGTCACAGCTTGCGCGTTATGATCCTTATCTATTTATTAAAAAGTGCTCTTTCTCGCTTCTGTGCCATCTTCCAAGTGCTTTCATTATCACCCATATAGCCGTTTTTCTCTATCTTACTTTAATCAGCGTTTTTCCATCAATTTAGAAAGTCCCACGAATGCGTAATCTATCTCGCTGACCTCCAACGTAACTCATTGCCACTTCTTTCCTGTGACGCGTGAGAGTGAGGTTTAGAGAAGGAGGGGGCAAAGTGTGCGGCTGCGCGCCGCCCGTCCTCATTTTTGAACGAGAGTGCTGTGTGAGAGATTGTTTCACCATCAGATGTCTCAGTGTTTCATCCAAGTTTACTATCATTTTTATCGTCATTTGGCGGTCAAGCGATAAATTAATAGATGATTTGCTGTTTAACACGTGTTCCTGATAGATTTCTGCAGAAAAAAAATACTAGCTCGCTTGCGAGAATTCAAATATTTTGGTTTACAGGTTTAATCCGACCAGAAAATGCCAATCACCGGAACAGTACTTCGTAGATTCATCACAAAGGGAGTTATCCCAATGTGCCAAGTCGCTCCACTTTCGACTTCGGCTGAAGGATCTACCAACTTGAAGGAGGTCCTTTCCAAGAAAATCCCAGCACACAACGCCAAAGTGAAGTCGTTCCGTGCTGAGCATGGCAACACCGTTGTTCAAAGTGTCAACATTGACATGGTAATTTTTGCCACTCGCAATTCCCAAAAAATGTTTGCATATAATTTGCATAATTTTTACCTTATAGATTTACGGAGGAATGAGAAGCATGAAGGGAATGGTTACCGAAACCTCAGTTCTTGACCCAGAAGAAGGAATCAGATTCCGTGGATACTCTATCCCAGAGTGCCAAAAGCTTCTTCCAAAGGCAAAGGGAGGAGAAGAGCCACTTCCAGAAGCTATTTGGTGGCTCCTCTGTACAGGAGACGTTCCAAGTGAGGCTCAGACCGCTGCTATCACCAAGGAATGGAACGCCCGCGCTGACCTTCCAACCCATGTTGTGCGCATGCTTGACAACTTCCCAGATAATCTCCATCCTATGGCCCAATTCATCGCCGCAATTGCTGCTTTGAACAACGAGAGCAAATTTGCCGGAGCTTATGCTAGAGGAGTTGCCAAGGCTTCTTACTGGGAGTACGCTTATGAGGTAAGCAACCGAAAACAACACAACAGCTGTTTTTCAACGGAACTGACGTTTGTTTTCAGGACTCTATGGATCTCCTCGCTAAGTTGCCAACTGTTGCTGCTATCATCTATCGCAACTTGTACCGTGATGGATCTGCTGTCAGCGTTATTGACCCAAAGAAGGATTGGTCCGCCAACTTCTCTTCTATGCTCGGATATGACGATCCACTTTTCGCTGAGCTCATGAGACTTTATCTTGTTATCCACTCTGACCATGAAGGAGGAAACGTATCGGCTCACACATCTCATCTTGTGGGATCTGCACTTTCCGATCCATACCTTGCCTTCTCCGCCGCTATGGCTGGACTTGCTGGACCACTCCACGGATTGGCTAACCAAGAGGTGCGTGCCTAATATCTATAACATTGATTAATTTTTTTTTCTCTTCTAGGTTCTTGTCTTCTTGAACAAGATCGTTGGAGAAATCGGATTCAACTACACCGAGGAGCAACTTAAGGAATGGGTGTGGAAGCATTTGAAGAGCGGACAGGTTGTTCCAGGATACGGTCATGCTGTACTTAGAAAGACTGACCCAAGATATGAGTGTCAACGTGAATTCGCCCTCAAGCACTTGCCAAATGATGATCTTTTCAAGCTGGTCTCGACTCTTTACAAGATTACTCCAGGAATTCTCCTTGAGCAAGGAAAGGCAAAGAACCCATGGCCAAATGTTGACTCCCACTCTGGTGTTCTCCTTCAATACTTCGGAATGACTGAGATGTCCTTCTACACTGTTCTTTTCGGAGTTTCCCGCGCTCTCGGATGCCTTTCCCAATTGATCTGGGCCAGAGGAATGGGACTTCCACTCGAACGTCCAAAGTCTCACTCCACCGAAGGACTTATCAAGCTCGCTATGGCCGCCAAGAAGTAAACCTCGATTTTGATCTTTTTATTGTTTTTGAGTGTAATAAACTGATTGCCTTCTGTCTCGCTCCCATAAATCTTTTCTGTCTCCCCGATTGTTTCTAGGTTAGTTGTCTCAGAATAAGAGAATTAGAATCATAATTTTATGTTTTCCGCTTGAGAAGCATTTTTGTCCATTTTTCTCTTGAAAGCGTTCTGGGCGCTGATTGGAAATAAATCGAAATAAAAATTTTTTTCGTGTGCTTTATTCAACATCATGACAGACAAAGGATGGTGTCCAAACATTTTATCTATTTAGTCTCTCTTATCGCTTTCATATTCTTTGGCGTTAGTTGTGGGAGAAGTAGGTGAAAGTGTGTCCATTCGGAAACTTCCTGGACTTTGCTGTCTTTCCAAACTATGAGAAGAGGCAGCATGCTTCATCAAATTGAGAAGAGATGATGGACGGAAAACGTCACCGATACCATTGCCTCTCGACTCGTTAGTTTCTTCTCTGAACTGAAATTTCAAGGAGAAAAACTAGAAAATTCTGATTACGGTTTGACATTGACGATTCGTTCCTTGACAACACTGGCTCGTCTTCCATCTCTAGGAACCATTCTGACTTGCGAAACCGATCGACTCAATCTGAAAATTTTTTAAAAAATTTATAAAAATAATATTCATTCTTACTTAATGTGTGCCAATGATCCCTGCCTTTGATGGTATCTCTTCTCATGGGCACTAGCTTCTGAATACAATGGAACCCACGTATCATCCCAGAATGCGTCCTTTTCCAATCTTGGTGTTTTATCATATCCTTCGTCGACGATTTTCAATCCCATCTGAATATTTCTTTTTCTATTGAAAGTTTAAAAAAGTAGAATACCGCAAGATTTCTGTCGATAAGCATATTAGTCTCGAAGTCGTCGTCATCTTCACCCCATGGATTCAGTAGGCCTTCTCCAACTTTCAACCATCCCATATAAAAAACGAATTGGATGCTTGTCATAAATGGAAATACTAGATCAATCTGAATAGATCTTTATAAAATAGTTTAAATAAATGATTTACCATATTTGGGTCATTCTCAGAACCTTTCACGTACTGTCTTGCCATGACACACACGAAGAAATACATATGAACTGCGAGGCACACAATAGTGGGATAAATGATAGGAAGCGGCACCCAATCGTAGTTACAAACCCAAGCAAGACCTGTACGGAACTTCTTGATATCCTCTGATATCACTGTAACATAGTAGTCTCCTTCAATGAGTCCTTCTTTTCTCGCATTGTAAACCAATGCCCATGCCCAGTTGAACGGTAGGAAATACTTGTTGTAATTGTATTGAATCTGATCAAAGTTGGCTTTTTCATGAGGCATCATGAATCCTGCAGCTGCCACCGTATCAAGAGTTGGAAACCGTTTTCGAGCTTTCATCGATAAATCACGAAAGATTAGAACTTGAGTCAGCTCACAGTATCGAATTATATTTCGTCTGTACTGTTTTGCTCTGTCACTGTCTCCCCGAATGTATGTGGCTGTTGAACAAGCAATACTGAATCAAATTTATAAATTTCACTAATTATTGTGTTATCTTACTTGTCAATAAATCCAATGATGTCATAGAGATACCAAAATCTGCGGAGAACTCCAGCAATGAAGAATCCAAGCATCCAATCCAGAGGAACATATGACAATCTAGCACCCGTGTAATCTACTAACTGCACAAAAATCTGTCTCTGATAATCTTGCAAAATGAAACGATAGATCGCGGATACTAGAAAGTATAATCCCAGCCAGACTGAGTACTGAATCCAGATCGCCTTCCATACCGAACCTCTCCATCTGAATTAAACGCCGTAAATATTACTACAGAATACCTGAATACCTGAATATGAGAGCAAGAAAGGTCCATGGTCTTGAAGTAGCTACTGACTGATTATAACTTACAGTCATATCATTCGAATAGTATGGAAAATGTAGAAAAAAATCGATGGGTTCCGCTCTTTTCCGAATTTAACAAAATCGGATTACATTTTAAAATGCAAATGAATTCAATGGACAGAGGCAATTCACATTATTCTAGAATTTCTTAAGGATCACATGTCCGGGGGTTCGAACATTTTTTAGACTGAATACTCTCTGCAAACTACTCAATGTCTTCCTAGTTCATTGCTTCTCCTTCCCCCATTCCCTTCCCTCTCTTTAGGCTAGGAATCAATACTTGGCTCCTTTTTCGCTATTCAATTTCACATTATTTCCTTTCAATTCTTTCACAATTTTCCTTCTTCAGTTACTAAAATAGTCTTTTCAGAAAAATGTCACAGTTGTCAAATATGTTGAAAGAGCACAGCAAAAAACAACATCTGCGAAGAGAAGTACAAGGTAAAGTATGATTCGTTATTAGCCCAACACATAAAAACGTAAAAATTTTCAGAAAAATTGAAAAACGAAGCTGTGGTGGCTGCTCAAACCTTGTCAACAGCAGTTGTGGATCATTTAAATGCAAAGTAACCCGAGCTGTTTTGTTTGGTTGGAAAATTCGAATTTTTCAGAGTATCTCAAGCCTATGGGAATCAAAAACGTCTTGATGTTGAAGCAAAACGGTTCGAGAACAATTCGGCTGCTCTGGCGAAACAAACGGAACAATGGCTATTCATCACCGAAGGCTTGAACTATGCCTTGAAAGAGATTGGAGACGTCGAAAACTGGTCACAAACAATCGAGAATGATATGAAAATAATCACAGAGACTCTTCGAAGAGCTTACGGTAAGCTGAGATTTTTAAACTGCAATTCAAATCTAATCGGTTGATTCCAGAAGCCAAAAACCTTCCAGCTGTTGCATCTCCGTCAGCGAATCCAGCGAGTCACTAACTGTTACAATTTATGTATTTTTGTACACTGCATCAAATTTGGCCATTGAAAAGATTCTCAGATCTAATTGTCATGTTTTGCATTAATTATAAATACAATGAAACAACAAGAATTCGAACCCGTTTTATACTCACAAAAAACATTTAATTCAAATTATAGCACAAATCTAAAACGAGGTAGATCCTATTTAGAATCTTTGGAATGTCTTCTTTATAGCTTCTCCATTTCTTTCGTTAGCTTTTCGATCTCATCCAGATACTCTTGTTTCCGTTGGATTTTCTTCACTTGATTCGGCTGTGGAACCAATTCTCCACTTGCAATTCGAGATTCCATTCCTTCAATATCTTCAATCTTCTTCTTGGTTAAATCGATTTTCTTTTGGAAGTGATCTTGTGGAGTGATGCACACATTAGCTTTGATTGCTGGAATTTTTTAGTTTTTTAAACTGGATTTGCAGGCGTTAGGACTTACCACTAACTGGCTTTCGGGTCCCAGCAGGTGCTCGAGGATTGGCTCCAGACGGCACGGAAGATCTTCCATTGGTGGCTTCCAACTGCATTCTATTCTGATATTTGGGTTGCTCATCTTGTGGAATGTAGCTGGAATTGAATAAAATTTGTATTTAGAAAATAGAAAATCTGTTTACCCTTCTTTCACCCTTCTCGCTTTTCTCCATGATCCATCGGGTCGTTGAGTAGCTGTGATGAATGTATCTCCTAAATAAAATTCAATTTAAAATCAATATCTACAACCGTTTCTTTCTGACCGCTCTCCGTCTGAACGCGAAGATCACCACCTTCACTGCATGCCGGTTTCGATTTTCCAGACGGCTTCTCGGACATTTTACTCTGAAACTCTGAACCGACTACTATAGAAACTCGGCAAAATCGAGGATCGATTCGTAACTTGACTCCAATGTTATGTTGATGGAAAAGAACCAGTTTTTCATCCCCGATAGTTGAACAACTGATAACAACGAATTAATTTATTCATGATGGTTCTGGTTTAAATCAGTTGCGATCAACTTCTTCTAAACAAGCAGAACTGTGAGACGACACATCGGACCAACAACCTTAAGGATAATTCACGGATTAGAATTTAAACCATCACAATTTCATAGGGGGCGAAATAAATAGAAATCGAATATCATAAATTAAACAAAACGGGTGTATAGACATCAAGCAATAAATTACAATTAATTAAATATTGATGCGGGGGAAAGTAAGAATGGGTAAGAGAAAGTAGGGGCATGATAAAACTATTTATCGAGTTACATAAATCCAGGGGCATTAAATCCTGGTTGACCAGGCTGACCGTAAGCAGGTTGTCCTCCGTACCCAGCCGGAGCGCCAGGGTAGCCCATCTGTGGAGCAGGAGCACCATACGTAAGCATAAGCTGTGGCTCCACTGAAAAAAACGATGGTATTTTTTGAATTAAAGCGATTCAAATCTTACTCGTCATTTTATTGTTCTGTTGCTGCTCAGCCTTTTCCTCTTTTCGCTCATGTTCAGAACGTTCCAATTTCTCCAGTCTGGTCTGATAATCTCTCATCACTTGGATCATGTATGGCATGGCGTAGTCCATGATTTTGTGTTTCCAGGCGAGCTCCATGATGACATCAGGGTGGAGGAGGTCGTAGCAATGATAAAGCGAGGCGGCAAAGCAGTCATAAAGTTTTTCATCGAGGAAGAAGGAAAGAAGCTCTTCCGCAAGCTCTCCATTTCTCGATTCTGCAGCATATTCCATAGCATCTTTGTACAACTTGTCTTTCTTGCAAAGCTCGATGGATTGCTTCCACCGGTTGTTTCCCTTGAACAAGTAAGCTGAAATTCTTCTGAACTCGACAAGTGGGTGTTTCTCGAGTTGTTGAGCAAGGGAGATGTTGTCGAAATTGTCTTGAGCCTCAATGGAAGAACGAAGTCCGGCATGGTCTTCCTCGTCAATCAGCAATTGGTTCAAAGCTTCGTTGATAGCCTTGTTGTTCAAGTTTTGGACTTGTCTGAGGTATGGCTTGACGAGAGGAATTTGCTTGACTGAAATAAACTCCTTGCTATTATTTTTGAAAACAAAATATACTTACGCTTGTTGAAGAAGAGAACAGTGCGAGAATGATCCAATCTTGGGGAGAGAACAGCAAGGAGATCATTGAGGAGAAGTGGCTTGAAGTCCAAGTAGAATTGCATAGCTTTGTAGTAGAGCTCTACATTGGCCACCTTGGCGATGACTTCCTTGAAGTGTTGCTCTCTCCATGATTCCGTTGGATGTTGCATCATGGTCAAAGCAGCATTGTCGTACTCCTCGTACTTATCATACAAGAATACCAATTCAGACCAGAGATGGGCTTGCTCAGCAGCACGGAGAACCTTTGGAATGTTGACACGGCTCCAGAACAATTCCAAATGCTCGCGCATCTTCTCTGGCTTGTATTTTGAGTAGAGGATAGCAAGCTCGGTGAACATTCCCATGTGGGCGCGTTCCAGTCCCAAGGCAGCTTCAAGAAGAGCAATGAGTTCTTCAAAGTGTCCACGATCTTGGTAGAAATTGATCAATTCTTCGAGCTCATCAGCATGAACAACAATATGAAGCCCACACATTTGAGCAAGACGGAACTCTCCGTTCTCCACACACGAGAAGCAAACTTGTTTCCAGGTCTTAGTGCTATTGGCCTTGCGAGCAGCGTCAACAGCTCCTTGGTATTCTCCCAAACGAACAAGTGTAACAGAAAGCTTGGCAAAGTTCGAAACGTTGTTGAAGAGGATCTTAGCAGCGTCGAACATTCCGTTATCAAAACAACGGTCACCAATCTGACCAATTTGAGCATGATTTGGTCCGGCAATAAACTCTTCCAACTCAGTGAGACGTCCGGTTTTTGCGAGGGCATAAACTAATTCGGTCTCGATGTATGACTCGCGGCTCTTCTTGCGAGCCATCTGAAGATAGCGGACAAGATCTTCCCAGTGTTCCGTTTGAGAGCATTTGTTGACAACCTCCATGTACGCTCCTGGATCGTCTGCCTTGATGAATGAATCAACAGCTTCCTTCACAAGATCTTGTTTGAGTTGAGCCTTGGCAAGTGATGCCCACACATCTGATTGATTACACTTCTCAGCGAATTCGTAAGCTCTGTCCAAATTGTTAACATTCTCAATGAGAACATTGATGGCACTTGAGTTGACATCAAACTTCTTGAAAATAGCAAAGGCTTCCTCGTAAAGCTCTGAAGTAATGGCGATGTTGGCGATGTCTGGAGCATCATAGTTATCCAGCTTTTGAATATACTCCATGACACGGGTTCTGTCAGCCTGAAATGAATCTGTGATAACCCAGTTTTCTAGCATTCAACTTACTCTCATGGCAGTCAAGATGAGCAGATTTTGAAGATTTCGGTGCTCAGAGAATGCAGAGTTATCGAGAACGATCTTCTCCAAAAGCTCAATGAGCTCGTTCGGCAAATCGGCAGCCATAAAAGCTTTAACAGTCACCGAAATGTCTTCTGGGTCTTGGGTTTCGGACAGAGCAGTTTGAACGACTTGATCAATCAACTGTCTTCTGTAGACATTCTCCTCGTTGAGAACTTGTTCCCAGAGAGTGAAATCTCTTCTCTTAACCAAATATCTAGCCAAGTTCTTGAACAGAGAGTTTTCGTTGCACACATTAATAAGCTCAGCATCACACTGTCCTCGTTCGTATGAAAGGAATGCGTAGTGGGGATCACGCTTCTCGCAGTATTTTCCGACAACCTTACTGTCGTAGTACGGATTCTCCTTCAGGAATCGTTCGGGGTTGTTGTTCGAGTCGATGTAGATCTTGGCCATGGCATTGTGAGTGGCAGCATCAGTAGCTCCCTCCTGGATTCTCGATTCAAGCCAATGGTTCAAGAGCTTTAGTCGGTTACGTTTCTCAACTTCTTCGACGAGTTCATCAATATCGAACTTTCCTCGGGTGTTGATGATGAGCTGCTTGATGGCATCTTCGCTGCAGTCGACGTCAAGAAGAGCTCCGACAACAATTGGGAGTCGGGCAGCATTTACCTTTTGAACGAAGACTTCGATGTACTTCTGTAGTTGGTTTCTGTACAAGTAGAGAACCAAGTCATGGACCATATTGTGACGGTCACAAACAATGATCAGTGGGAGTTGATCGTTGAGCTTAGCTTCCTTGAGGAAGTTCTTGACTCGTTCCGCATCGTAGCATTGAGATTCTCTGCAGATTCGCTCGACTTCTTTAATCTGTCCAGTACGAGTGGCAGCCTGGATGTACTTGAAGTGAACCTCTGGATCTTGGCTGAAGTTGACGATGGACCCGAGGAAATAGAAGAGACCTTCGTATGACTTGTGAGTCTCGAACATCTCAATCAGCTTATCAGCTCCAAGTTGTTCGTGGTACTTAGAAGCGATTTGAACGACGACTTGAAGGTTTTGGCGAATGTTTTGAGTGAGCATGGCTTTTAGGCATTCCAATGAATCTTCTACGGAGAGACTTCCAAAGTATCCAACGAGCCACTAAAATAAAATATTGATAATTATCGGCTATGTAAGCATACACGAGAGATACTTATGAATTACAGGTTAAAGGTGGGGGGACAGGAGATTTTTCGTAGTTTTTTTGTAGCTAGAGTAAGCATTCTACCGTTACGGTGTACAACGCTTAATGTCACTCTGCGTACAGCTGTCGTCCTCGCCTTTATGTATGCAATCGGGCGTGCGCTTTCTCTTTACCCGCGTGGCTCAGTCGGTAGCGGCGCCGCACCCTCTTCTTCGCCCTCACAAGTTCAACTCCTCAAGGGGCGAAACGTCGAAACGTTATCCCAAAAATCACAAATTCACTTGTGTATGTTTTTATGAAAAATAACTTACATCTGGTTTGAGCAAATGAGTATGAACGACAGTTCTCTTGATGTCATAAAGGTCAGTGAAATGCTCGAGAGCCCTTTGCAGAAGACCAGCCTTCTCGCAGAGTTGACCGATAGCGGCACGATCATAATGAGAGAACATCTTGTTGGCCAAAATAGCATCAGCAACAGCTGGAGCAGCAAGAAGATTCATCTCCAAAAGTCGTGTTTGAAGATGTCCTTCCTCTGGCTTGTCTCCTTTCAAAACTTCAAGCAAGAAGGAGGTGCATGGCTGAACGGCTTGAACTTCCATGAAGCAGTCGATGATCTGAAATAATCGCTGAGTTTCAAACAGAAAACGAAGTAAAATGTAAATTCCTGATGAATTTTAAATTTACCTGAGACAAATCAGCGAGAGGCTCTCCATTCTCACTCTCAGAAACAAGAAGTTGAGCGAACTTAGCTCCGTTATCTGGATTCGAGTTGCGAAGAATTTGTCGGAGTTGGAACAAGTAGTCTGGCTGGAATCCGACGCGCTTTGCATACATCACAATCTTGTCAAATTGTCCTGTCTCAGCGAAGGATTGAACAACTTTGTGTGGTACATTTCCGCGCAGATAGACAGATAAAGCAGTGTTGACATCGTGTGGCTTGATGAGATCTCCTAACTCTTCGCAGCATTCAAGCTTCTGCTCATTGAGCCACTTGGTGATCAGTTCTTTTCTTCCTTGAGCCAAAACAGGACGGCACAACTCCAAGGTTTCGTACTTGTTCAGCTTTCCTTGATCCAGAAGAATACCGAAAAATTGAAGAAGAGGCGAAGGACCAGATCCGGTGGATGGGCACTGTTGGAATTTTTGGATAGTGGCTGGAGTTCGGAGAATTCCTTGAGGTGCGGAAGCGGCAACTTTAGCAGCTTCACCAAATTGACCGTTGCTGAACAGCAAATTGAATTTACGGACGAACAACTCCTCTGCACCAGGAAGGTCACATCGAACAGCTAGCTTCAACGCCAAATCTGGGTTTTGAAGTTGGTTGGTGACGAAAGGAACCAGGTTAGCCTCATCAATCGAAACTGAGAGAACTTGTCCTTTTCTGTTGATTCCCATAATTCCTCCAGTGGCTGTGTACTCGCAAGTGACGAAAACTGTATCAGTCGAGATACGATTTGAGTAGATGCGCAATCCAGATTCCACATCGTAAAGATGGACGTAACCCTGCTTCGTCACCAAGTAGATGATTCCTTGCTTGGTTGAAACCTGAAAATATCGGTTTGAGATGACGTAAACAATTTAATACACTGCGTTGAGGAGTATGTGAATTATAAACATAACGAAACTATCGAATTTCGTTTTAATATGTTTAGAAAATTTACTAAACTAACCTGCATAGAAACTGGGAAATCGCCCGCAGTATCAGCTGTGTATGGAACATCAACATTCTTCTTTTGGAAAGGTGAATTTCCAGTGGCGGGGGTTCCGACTTCAATGATGTGAAGTTTACCTCCGGTTTCTGTTTTCACGGAGAAGCAGAACAAGTTGGATGGTTGTTGATTTCCGTCAACCTGTAAAATAAGCGAGCTCGCATATCCCCAGTTTTTTAAAAGTAAAATTGCTCACCTTGAATCGGACGAAACTGGCGGCATGACCTTCAATTGGCTGCGACACCTTTCTTTCTGTACTGTACAATTGCATGCTTCCAACAACACGGGAATCTTTGGCGGAGATACCAATAAGAACGAGCCATTTGCTTTCGGCATCGGCACGGTAGTTTATGATTTGAGTACCGGCCAAAGACTGATGTCTGTCGAACATCTTAACTGGAGCTGCATCTCCTTCGATTGACCAATGATAGACTGCTGTGTCGGAAACGAGAGCGATCAACTTATCACTAATCCATTTCCAATAAACTACATCTTCCACATTCTGGTGGGCTTTCACTTTTGCTTTCAATTCAATGTTGAAAATTTGAAGAGTCTTGCCAGCTGCAATAGAAAACGAATATTATTTGATGAGAGTCAAAAACTAACATTTAAGGGCAAGAATTTTCGCAGTTGGATGCATAATAACAGAATCAGCAGATATCGGACGACGAGTTGGATTTGCTGTATCCGCCAGATCAATTATCACTACTTGTTGTTGATCTCCAATCTGTGAGATTTATACATTTTTATTTGCTCAGGAAGGTTTTAACTGTGTTTACCATTTCACGAACGACAATGTTTTTGTCAGATTCCATGGTGACATTGGAGAATGTGATGTTGGGAACCCGAATTCCAGCATTGGGGAGCTGCAGATGCTCATGAAATTTAATAGGGAGAGCCGCCATTATTGAAAAGTGTGTGTTGAATGGAGAAACTTCTTACAATAAATTATATACCTGGAAAGAAAAATTGAGGTTTTTGAAAGTCGAAAAAGATATTTTGGAAAAAAAAGTGACAACATTCATAGAAGTATAAGATAGTGAGTAACACACATGGCGCATAGATTTGGAAAAGAGACATTGAAAGGGTAAGCTAGAGACTTAGAGACACAGACTTCTAAAACATGACATCGATAGACGATACTTTAGAAAAATACTTGAACCCTGATGTTTTGATAAAATTCCATTATCACTGACACATGAAAGTTTTTGAGGTCTCAAATCATTTTTGGAGATTTTCAGTAGCAAAACAAGGTGAGGTGAGCAGATCAAGAAGCAAAAAGAGAATTACACAACCCGAACAGGAGTGTTTCTTCGAGAGGAAGCTTTGTCTAACTCGCAAAAGCTGGTCGATCGAAAGAATGAGTCGATTCCTGTTTGCCAAAGCTTGACCAAGTCGCCTTGTCATCGCTGGGCACGCGACGCGTACGCTTCGCTTCTCGTTGGGGCGCGGCGTTTTCTCTCGGGAACTTTTGAGAGACCCCGCAAATTCCGGGAAAAGAAAAACCGGGGAAAAAAATCGGGGGAAAGTGGGCGGAGTCGGGGGCGGAGCCTAAAATGCAACCCTGGCACGGTTTGGCCGCACGGTTTTTCTGCACATACGTTTTTCTGCACATACGATGAAAGCGGTCATGTGGGCGGAGCTTCGGGGGTTTTCGCATTAATTTCGGCAGTCGATAGGGAAGGAAGAATAGAAAACCAAAGTTTACGTTGAACGGATGACTCATCCCCCAATTATCAAGACGATTGACGAAGAACATTAAAGATTTCCGGTACAAAAATAGATAGGGCACAATCGAGAGATTATAAACTTCTATCAGTTTGATCTACTTCGTTCACATGGCAATTACGAATTCAAGAATGAAAGAACCCCGGTTTGAAACTAAATATGAAGTAATCTCGAAGAAGAATTGCGAAATCGTTTTTCTCGGAAACTGGATCTGTCTTGTGTAAATACAACAATTTCGACTGAGTCTCTTTATTCAAGAGAAAAAAAAAACATAAAATTAGTACAAAATATTCTTATCTTGTGCACTCTTCTTTGTCTGGAAATGTTTGGTTGCATCTGTCTTTACATTATCATAGAAGCATCTCTTCATGTCTTCGAACCTGCAACATTTAATTCAACATGACTAATTCACTCGTTTCGGGATGAAGATAAAAGATATGAAAACCTGTCCAGACATGGCGAATAGCTGTAATCAATTGGGGTGTATACATCGGGTCTTTGGTCACAGAAAGTTAGGCATTTACTTCCAGCTGTTGTTGCATCCACGTCATTTTGCGAGCAGCACTAGAAATATATTAAGATGATGTGAACGCTATTTTTTAGCACTTACAGAACTGTGATCTTTTCCCTGAGCTGCACAGAATTGCATCTCCGGAAGAAATTCAATTGGGCAATCACTGGTTCTGAAGAACATCGATTCCAGCTGAAATTCAAAATATGTCGTCACAAGTTCTTGACCTAGTTGTAAACTAACCACTTCTTTGTTGTATACATTGAAATGACACTTCTGGACACATGCTGGGGGTAACTGACGCTCTTCGCAGCAAATATGGAATAAGTGGTTCGGGTTCTGAACAAAATAGTTTCAATTTTTTAAAAAGGCTACGGGAGACTTACTGTCAATAGTTGAATATTCTTCTCAGTGATTGGAGTTTTCGTATCGTTCCATACTTTCAATCCAAAAATGTTTCCATCATCTTTGTCATCAAATTTTTGTATAACATCTCCACTGACTCTTTTTGAAGCTCTTGCTTTTGCTTTGGCTCTACATCCACAACAACCACAAGCTCCACTGGATCCACAAGCATCCGAGAGGATAAAGAAGACAGCAAGAAGAATCACAATGGTTCGATTCATCGTAATAAAATATACTTCATTCAGATTGCAACTTGCCTATTTTATACATTCTTCTGGTCTCTATAATTACAGAATAGATTACATAACAATAAGTGGTTCTGGCAAGTTGTCCACTCTTCGGTGATCCAGTTACCTTCGAGATTATGCCTCTTGACTAGTAATTACCGTACCTGGTTGGTTCTGGTTAGTAATTAAAAGTTGTCTCGATAAGTTCTTGTTTTCCTAAACTCTATAAAAAGAGCTATTGTTACATCATTATTTTGTAGTCTGTGTCGAGCGAATGAGGTGCATCCTTCTTCTAGTTTCTACGTTCACAGTTCTGATTCAGTGCTGCAGTCAGTCTGGAGGTTGCTGTAAAAGGAGGACTCCTCCACCAGTAAGTTTTTCTTTCCTAATTAACTGAAGTGGAGTTATGATGCTCTTAACAGGTGTTATAGCAGGTGGAAAAAATCAGTAGAAGGAATACACTTTGAAAACAACCAAAAAATATCTTGATTGGCAGTTTTTCCCTTGTAGCAGAATTACCTTCCTTCCTCTAATGGAGAGCTGGCAAATTTGAGCTCAATTATCTCGTTTCCAGTAAAATATATCAAAACTATGTCAACTGATAAAAAATTGGGGATATTATGATGAACAATTTATCAGTTGACAACTATTTGATATCTCTCACAGGAATCGAGATAATTGAGCTCCAAGTTGGGTGGGGTTCTATTAGAGGAAATACGGTACATCTAGAAAAAGTTAAAATCAAAATTACTGTCAACCATTTATTTTTTGTATTTTCAGATTTCTTTCATTGTATAAAACTTATTCCAGGTAACTTGTGGGCAATCTCAATGCCAGCAAGGTTATGCATGTGGACAGTATGGATGTGCTCGAAGAAAAGCATTCGGTGGTCTAACGAAAAGAGTTGACGGAGTTTTGGTGAATGATGATTTCCATGAACAAGCAGAACTAGCAGAAGCAAGTGCTGCTTTGAGACCTCATGATGTGTCTCACAAGATCAATGTTGAACGATTGACAAATCCAAACTTTATATTTCGATCCTGCTGTGAAGCGAGAGGTCTTCCAGATTCATGTTTGAGGCATTGTCATTTCAATACTTATACATTCAATACAGTAGGTGACTAGTAACCATTTCTGAATTTTAAAATGTTTTTTTCAGATAGAATCAATGTTCAATAAAAAGGACAAATGTCCGATCGAAGCTATAAATGAGATTCATTACTGTGCTGCCCAAGGAATCGATCATAGAGAATGCTGCCATTCAAATGGAGTTTCAACCACAGCAGCTGGAAGGAAATGCCTCTCATTTTGTGACCAACGACCGAATCGCTTCATTCCAATTGACGCATCGTATCTCCCCTGTTATGAAGTATTCGAGGGGATCAAACAATGTTTCTACCAAGAGATCAAACGTCGAGCTTCGAAGAAGTTTGAAAACTTAGAACTTGCTCTTCATTAATCACAATCTTTTAAAATGAATCGTTTATTTGACAAACTTTAAGACAAGACAGACACAGAATGTTGGGAAGATGACGACGACAATTTTGCGTATTTTTTTGTTTTGGAGCTATTAGTTTGATTTTCATCAAGGATGACCAGTCCGAAATGAAGAATCAACTCCAGATTTTTTGAGAAGAAGAAGATAACTAGCAATAAAAACTAGTAGGAGAGGAGTTTTGGAGAAGATAGGCGCTACAACCGAGAATGGGAGCTACCAATGAATACATTTGAAACCGGGATACGAAGAGGAAGAAGTTTGGGATAGGAAGTTTAGCAGCTGGTTTTTCCACAAGTCTTTGGGCACTTGGCGGTGTAGGCGGCGAAGTTGTTATCATTGCAAAGCTCAGCGAAGACAGCGCAGTGACCATCTAAAGTGTGAATATGAAATGAAACCAATTCGTGAATGTATCCTTACCTTCATCATCAACACATTCGGCGGCTGAGGAGTAAACGACGAAGACAGACATGATGACGAGGAAGTAGAGGGCGAGGGTCTTGAGGGAGAACATGATGAATTTGACTCAATTGAATGGTATCTAACACTGCTTGCTGCTTCCCTTTTATATGATTTTCTTCCTCATTCCGGGGGATGGATACACAGTACCATTTGCGAATTAGTACTGTTTGTTCATCTGTTTTAGATCACATCGGATGTGATAGATGAATCTGATCATTGATGAGCCTCTGTTGATTTTTGTGCTATTAGCAGTATCGATGAGAAAGTGAAGTGAAATAGTTTTGCTAACATCTGAATCAAAAAAAAATTGAGAAAATTGCGAAGTAGGGCTTAAGAATATTCGAAAGTGGAAAGGATGACTGTAGCGAAAAAACATTCGAAAATGAAAAGGATTACTGTAGAACAAAAATATTCGAAAGGGGGAAGGATTACTGTAGGGAAAAATATTTGAAATTGAGTAGGATTACTGTAGCGACGGATAAATTCTAAAATGAAATGAATTACTTCAGTGATGGCTGGTGCGCCTTCGGCGCCATTTAACCTAATTATTTTATTGTTCGTCGCTCACTTTTTGATTTCTTCTTTTCAAAAGGTCACGTCAAATTATATTCATTTTTCAATATTTTCAAAAAATTTTATTTTCTCATTCACGCAACGCAAAAAATTAATAAATCAATCAATATTAGGGCACGCCTCTTCCTTCTGTCCACTTTAAAAAATTCCACGTACTGAAAGAAGTTCCTCGGGAAATCACACTCTTTCAAGTTTATTACTCGTTGGATGATTTCCACTAGCATTTTTTTCATTGTTAGGATGCTCTTTGCACGCTGCTTGTTGTAGTTTCTTGTCTTTCGATTGGTGAAAATGCGAAAAAGTTATAAAAGGCCCTCAGGGTCGCCATGTTTGGTGGTTCATGGCTAGGTGAATTTATTTTCACTGAACGTCCCCCTTTCAAAATCAATCCAATCAAAGATTCAAAAAAAGAAACATCAATGAGCAGCGTTGAGTTGGCATAGACTTCTTGTACTGAAGAAGGGCAAATAGACAATTGCTATGGGAATAGTTGCTATCTGATGAGTTGCTATGACACAATTGCTATATATATTCAAATTTCAAAGGCACAATTGCTATGGAATATACCAGTTGCTATGTGTGAATACAGTTGCTATTTCTGACACAATTGCTATTTTGACGCAATTGCTATAGTTCTCATAGTGGATATTTTTGCGCATGTTAGTACATTTTCTCGCGAGAAATAGCAATTAAAAAATCAATAAATCAAAATAGCAATTGTGTCAGAAATAGCAACTGTATTCACACATAGCAACTGGTATATTCCATAGCAATTGTGCCTTTGAAATTTGAAAATATATAGCAATTGTGTCCAATATAGCAATTGTGTCGTAGCAACTAGGTATATAGCAATTGTTCCTTTATAGCAACTCGTCAGATAGCAACTATTCCCATAGCAATTGTCTATTTGCCCTGAAGAAGAACTAATGAAAATTTTATCAACGGTAATGGGCCAATGAGCCTAGTTTGTTGGGCTTTGGAAAGGGACCCCAAGGAAGAAAACCTTGTTTCCCTTTCATGTACTGAGCCTCTACATGGCGGAAGGGATTAACAGACAAAGGTCTGGCTAATCAGTACACTTTTGAACTTTGTTTTTTTTTTGAAATAAATTTTTAATTTTTATTTAAAAAAAAGTGTTTTTCTATTGATTTTGACCATTTTCAGGGCTCTGGAGCTCGGCTGTCAATTGTACGATCACTTCTAAAAACTTTTTCAAGTGTTTAAAGAGACCTAAATTGAAAACTTTGTATCCATAGAATATTTTAATAACTTCTAGTTTTTAGCTATCTATTTGCCTGCGCTTCGAACAGCGGGTTGGTGGGTCTTGGGCGCGATTTGAACTAGTTCTTTAAACCATCATCTAGCAGGTCGTTGTAACCTTAACTGATTTGGACACATATTGAGAATCGAGCATCTGTTCTGACCTTGAAAATTTTATCTGTCTCATTTCAACTATAGCTCCTTTTTTGATTTTAATTTCCGGCTTCTTTTTTTAGCTTCAAATAACTGATTCTGTGGATAAATATTATTCTTTGACAAATTCAAGACAAGACAGACACACAAGTGATGATGAAAAACAGGGGGAAAAGGTTGACAACAAAGACAACATGAATATTGGATTTGTGGAAAAAAATAGATAATTTGTGACGAAAGCTTTCAAAAGGGGGTGGAGATTTCTATATATAGATGACCAGTCTACAAAAGAAGATCAACTTTTGAAAGGAAACAAATAATAGCGGAGTGACTGTGGCTAGTACAATATATGGAAGTTGGAATGTTCAAGTTTGGGAAATTATACAAGGTGCTACAACCGGGCGAGGGAGCTACCTATGTATTAATATATTAAGGGGATGAGAAGAAGATGACGATTGAAAATGCATTTAGCATTTTCCACAGGTCTTGGCACACTTGGCGGTATAGGCGGCGAAGTTTTCATCGTTGCAAAGCTCGGCGAAAACGGCACAGTGACCATCTGAAATAATGAGATTTTTAATACTAAAAAATTCCAATTTTACCTTCAGCATCAGCACAGGCAGCTGAGGAGTAGACGACGAAGACAGACATGATAACGAGGAAGTAAAGGGCGACGGTCTTGAGGGAGAACATATTGATACTGGGTTGAATTCGAGGACGAATGTGATTTCTCTCCACGTGGGGGCTCTTTTTATATGATTCCACATTTTGTTAGCAAATGGATACGCCCTCCGCTAAAATTCACTCGGTGCCGAAATTTGCGCACCTGTCTGCTGTTATTACACAATGACTTATCTGTTGTTTGCACAGAAGACCTCGAATTCGCAACAGAGATAGATTTCACAAAATGAGTGTATGTATACAGTATCTTGTTCAGATGGATTCAATTATTTTTTAGCAGCAGATCGAATCAATTGCCCTTTTTCCATTGTTCTCAATTTCCTTTGTCTGGATGTTATGTAAACGTTGATGACGCACCTGTCTGGAGCAATTTCTATCCGAGTTCAATACGAACTTTTGCATGAAAAATTTTCAATAGTATTATGCTGCTACAAAAATTAATAACTTTTTTTTTATTATTTTCAGGTTTTTTTTTCTCGATTTTCGTTCGTTTTCAGTAAATCTTTTCACTTCAAAAACTTTATTTTCGGACTTGTTCGGAGGAAAATGACAGAAACACCAACGAAGAACAATAACAAACGAGAAAATAAATTCGGAACATGAAATTATTTTTGGGTTACTGTAGTTGTCGTTGTATTTATGACATTCGGCCACGACCACAGGCTATTCTCTTTTACGGCTCCAATTTTTTGTACCAGAATAATAGACAAAACAATGAACTTGAACATTCATTAAAACCCAGTTTCCAGATAAAAATTGAGCTGCTATTGCGAAAAATTGATATAATTGAAAATCACTGATCGGAACCCAAAAATTAATAAAAATCATATAAAAGTTTCTCTATACCCCTAGAGCTCAAAAAGCTAAAAACATGATTAAATAAGTTAAAAATATAAATATCTAAAAAATTGAAAAAAAGACAATTAAAATTATTGAAAAACCACTGTTCGTTTTGCAGTTTTTGGTTCGATTCCGTAGGAGAGTTGTATTAATATTTTCTGATTGTCGATCACCTAAATTGTTGAAATAGTTAAAGGATAAAAGAAACATTTCAGAGTTCCTCACTCTTAAATTTCGAATCAAACTTTGCGGTTCCACATATTGATGATCAGTAGTGTCGTTCATATGAGATTTGCATTGGCGGAAGTTTCGAAATATTTTTGCAAACATGTGCTGAAATTTTTGAGTTGCACAATTACCAGAATTCTACTCTTTTACCATCTTTTCAAAATTCACAAGTCCATTGTAAAATGATTTGTTCCCTTGGTGGATAAACATCAAATCTTTCAATATTAGAGGGACAAATGGGATGTATGGAGTAGCAATTTTTGAAACAAGGAGACGATACATTCGATGGTTTCTTGTGGGATCCAGTAGGTTCTCTAGCTCGGAAAACGTTTTGAATGTGGCTGGAGGAAGTTTCTGGAAATACAGATTTTGAGAACATTTGTATTCTATTTATATTCTGACTTACATTCCATGTCAAAGTAAGCCGACTAACGGAAGTGTGACTGAGACCAAGTGTAATTGCAAAAACAGTCAGAAGATCCCGATATTCTCTGGCTCTGTAAAAAATATTTTCAAACCATTCTGTTTCATTTTTAACCAACATAGTTGCAATATGGATGAACTTCTTTAAAATTTCCACTCGATTATCTTCAGTAGCTAAGAGAATTTCTGTAGTAGACCAATGTTGAACTTCATTGAATCTTCTGACAAGCAAATCCAAATTGAATGGCATACTTTGCGGAAATGATTCTCGACCAATCACTTGATAGAGCAATTCGTTGGAATCAGTAGCTCTTAGAAGTTGGAGATGAAATAAAAATAGCTGATGAGCAAGTTCTTGCGAGTCAATCAAATGAAGAATTGACGAATGAGTTGTTGGAGTCGGTCCATTTTGATCTTCCATCGGAACCAACATAGGAATCTCTTCTCGATTCACAACATACAGTTTAGAGTTGAGACTAAGCACCGTTGGAATTGCTCTGTCTGTTGGTGAGAATATCAGTTTTTCTCCATTTGATTTCACTTCAACCAATTTTAAAGGTTCAGCCGAAAAACTCATTCTCCTTCTCGAAAGTTCACAAATCTCCTCCGCAGTCTTATCAACTCTTATTGGGAGCACAAAGCACGTTGTATCCGCCAAATAAATTATCTGATTACATACATCCGAAGGTAGAATGGGACATGGAGTACGGGCAGAAAGGACTCCACAATCTAATACAATTGCCGGATGACGTGCCAAAACCAACTGCATATTCTCTCTCGAAGTTCTAATTGCTCCGATTCGTGTCATTATCTCCTCCATTCCTCCTAATCGTTTCCTATCATCAATAACATGACAAAATAGTTCTTCCACAAACGAATTGGTTACTGGATTTAGGAAAAAGTTGATTTTCAGCATACTACACCAGATATAGACAAATTGAACAACTCTTTTTTTGCAACGAACTTCTTCTGTACAGGAATCAGTGATAGAATCTCTTGTAGCTCTCTGAAAATTAAATATTGAAATACATTATTCTGGAAGAAATGTCAAAACATACATATGGAGTTCTGAAATAATAAGACTTCAAAAAATTGCAGACAGTGTTTGCTGGCATAAACGCATCATGAGTTAGAATGAAGTCTTCAACGAATAGATCAATTTCTGAAATTAAAAAATTCTGAAGTTTACTCATTTGAAAATGTGTTCTTTAAAGGAAGCGAGACAGCAAAAATTTCGGGGACGGTTCGGGGGACGAAATCGCGCCGCGCTTATGTAGACCATCGGTCGTCAGCCGACTTCGCGCACCCGTAGCTCAGCCGGTAGCGGCGCTGTACCCCTGAGCTGCCTGTCATGAGTTCAACCCTCATGGGGGTTCTCTATGCAAAATATCAGGGAAACTTTTTTTTTTTGGTGTCTGTCCTCCTTTAAATTTTAATTTTCGTCTTAACGGCTTCTCTTTCCATAGAAAAAAAATTTGGAGGAAAAGTTTTGTAATTTGTCCCAACCATTTTTAACCCCCCCCCCCCCCCATTACATTTTCTAATCCCTTCTCACCAGATATGTCATCACTGAGCGCATCGATCCTCGTCTCCAAAACATATTCTAAAATCTTTTCAGCTTTTCCAGCCATCACCGAATATCCACAGTTGAAGTTGCAAGAGTTTGAGTTTTCCAGAGCTGCTCCTCGAGGAATGTCTACCTTCTCAAGAACCAGTACGTCTTCTCCATAGTCTTTCAGACGGACTGTATTGGCTTCCACTTGGTGGAGGATTCTAAAAAGGAAAAGAATTAAGAATTAAAAAATACAAGCCTTACTGATTGAAATGATGTTTGTCCACAACCAAAAATATAGAGTCATCCTCATAGGTCACAATAGTTGCAGCTCTTGGAAGATCATTCACCAATGCCAATTTTCCAAAATCGTCTCCTTCTCGTAATATACAAACAACCTTTCCATTCACATTCACTTCGACTGCTCCTTTCAAAACGATATACCAGTAAACTCCAATTTCTCTCTGTCGAAATACAACACTTCCTGCATGAATATACTGTTCCACCTTCACAAAATTAGCCAATTGTCGTTTGACCATTGTGCTCAGATGGGAAAGCGCTTTGATGAATGTAAGCTCTTCATAAACGACTTCTAACTCTTCGGGGCTTCGTTCGAAACCACTGGAATAATAGAAAATCAAATGTTTAATTTAAAAATAAACTCACGGTTTAGAAACAATCATGAGAAAAAGAGTCTCAGGAGCAATGGAGGAAAGTAAAGCAGTACTTTTGGAAACTTCTTCTATTGTTGGAGCAACTTTATTCCTATTTCTGTACGGTTGAACCCATCGATAATATGAATTTGTTTTGTCCATAAACTCATGTTCTCCATCAATATGTGCGATCATTCCATTATTCAGAAGAACTTGCCAAATGGCGCTCATTTGAATTCTCGAAAGACTTGATGATGTGGTCGAGGTGGATACAAAAAGTGTGAGAAGCCAATCGATCATTTCAGCGCCAATCATACAGTTTTGTACTCTCTGAAAATTTAAATATTCGCTTTGAGAAGAGCGAAAGAAAATTACCGTATGCTGAGTAGTGATATCCCTAATCACTTGGTGATTATCCGTAAGCATTTTCCTGTGTAAAACTTCGCCCGATTCCAATACTTGTTTTTCGATTCCTGTTGGATTGTGGAATTCAATGAAATTCCTATCTTCGGTTCTATGATTCTGATTATGGTTCAATTGATTCGGTCTATGACTTCTGTTTTCTCTTCGATGTGGAAGTGATGGAAGTATCATTTTTGTTGGAATCCCTTCAGTTGAAACAGACACTATTTCATTCGGATTGATTTCAGAAGACATTAAATCATTGCTTCTTTGACCATTGAAAAGACCAGAACTGTGCATTGGAAGTTGTGGATCCATTGGGGTTTCGTCAGTCAAAATATCGTGCATAATTATGATAAACGGCTGGAGATGATCACCATGTTTCTGGAATTTTTGTTCGATTTTCTAATATGTACTTGTGATTTGAGCCGGACTTCTATTGTTTCAAGCCCCTCTTAGAGGTCCCTTCTATTTAAGGGAAACTTCTATTACACGTTTCACGGTAAATTGGGTCCCAAATTGATAAACACCAAAAATCAAGTATACTAATCCAAAGTACACTGAAAAACGAAATATAATATTCCAATTTTTCATAAATTTTTTATTTGATGTTTGCTCAAAATTCACCGCATTACATGCTCGGTTTCGTGCGAATTTTGAGAAAAAGACCTAGTCGCGATTGCCATGAAAGATAAAACTAATCGGGGAATCTCCTTTTGGAAATCCTTCGATAGAATTAAAAAAATCAAAGACTTACATTGTAAACTGATAAAAAATGGTTCTGAGCTATCTTTATTAATTGTGCGGGCCTTGAAACTAAACAAGAACAAGAATGTGTCAATGTGGAGAGATCTCCAAAAAGGGATCCACATCGTAACGTCTTCAAGTGTTTGAAGTCTCCAACCTGAACGAAAATGGAAGATTCTAAATAAAAGTTTGAAGGACTTACATATGTTTTGCTGTACAATTGCACTTCTCCACTCAACAATAGATACCAATATTCCGTTGGCTCGTCTTTTTCGAATACTAAAAAACTTTGAAAATAGTTGCTTAATTTTTTTAAACAGATAAAAACTCACATACTACACCTTGCTGTATATTATCTGGCTGGAAATCTGATTCCGAAAATAATGAAATCAGTAAGGCATCTGAGAATGTGTGTAATGGAGATAATCGACGAACACGGGATACCATCCGCTCCATCTGAAATGAAATATATGTAGTAAAGTTTAAAATAGAAGCAACAAGTTTAAAAATAGAGTGGCAAACATAAAAAAGAAGAAGAATAAACCAAAAAGAAAAGAGGGGAGAAATGTTTTAGATGTTTTGAGTTGAGAAAGTGGAAAAAAAAGGGTTATTCTTATTTTGAAGTGTTTTGGTGGTTCAGCAAATTTGTTAATTGTTTGAAAGCCCTTTAATTATCAAGAAAAGGAAAATAGATTTTAGATATTTTAAGGCAAATTGTGGGGTTTGAGTTTTTTCGTCGTTCAAAAAATAATTATCACATAAAAGAAAGAGACTGAATGAGTGGTAAACAAGTAACCATTTACGGGAGACCAAACAAACAAATTGGAAGTAATGCGAAACAAAAAATGAATGAGCGATCTGCTGAGCTCTCTCTCTCTCTCTTTTCTTCAGCAGCCACTTTTAGTGTGAAGGGTAGAGAGACATAAAGACATAGACAACTCCGTGGTCTTCTTCTTTTTTTTGCTCCTATACACACTCTTCTCCTGCGATGCAAAGGGATGGGGGTCTACACGAGAAAGCAGAAGCCGAGTAGAAGAAAAAAAGAAGACGTAGAATAAGAGGAAGAAGAAAAGAGCTCTGGCCACACAAACAAATGGATGTCGTCTCTTTCTCTCGGGCGGCGTTGACTCCGAGAGCACCGAAGGGGAAATTGAGGGAAAAAAGTTAATGCACTTGACAATAATACTACGACATAATACAATTCCTGTGTCGTTTTTTGGTTCACCTTTTGTGCGCCAGATGGGCGGTGCGGAACTAGAATGTGGGCAATTTTGGGTAGTTCGGAAGAGATAATGGATCATAAAAGACATGGAGGTAGTTACTCTGGCTTTTGGAGGCGAGAGTGGTGCTGGACAGGTGGATAATCCAAAAGAGCCATAACAAATAATTTGTAAAAGTGAGATTAAATTACAGTATTCTAATCGTTTTGAAAACAAGGGATTCGGAGAACAGTAACTCAAAAGCTCGAAATATGATTCTTCAACTTTTCAAAGTTTTCTTTGATATACACAGGTAGAGGGGCATTAAACTGCTAAATGACAGCCAAAGAGGAGCAAAATGGCGAATGACTGCTAGTTGGAAGCCGAAGGAGGACCGATAGACTGTCAACGGACTGTGGACGGACAACCGGAACCTCTTGGAAAACCGACTTGAAAGTTTTGATTGAAAATCATCCAGAAAAGATTATGTTATGCTTCCACTAGATTATTCTGATGATAGAAACTACTTTTTCTCACATAAGACAACCTCAAAAAGTATATTGTTGAACGACGGCTTGGTGACAGTCGAAAGGCACTGACTAGTCGATTACCGGTGGTTGGTGGACCAAATTTCTGGAGAATGGAACATTTTGTCAAAAATTACTTTTGGAATTATCACACTATAAAAGTCAAAGAGGACTCTGGGAATCTTCAAAATTTATTATTAGAAGTATGCGGACAAAAATGACCCATTTATATTCAGAAGAAATCTCGAAAACGTTTTTTTTTTGAAAACCAAGAGAAGAATGCGCCTGAACAGTGATGCTTATCGAGGTAATATAAAGACTTCAGGACTTAACAATAAAACAAATGCGTCCAGGAATTTTTGAAGCGGGTCTAGCCAATGTTTTTTTTCTTTTTCAAAATCCCTTTCTGTGAAAAATGATGCCGTGAGATGAAGTCCCAAATTTAGAAAAGTTTCAAACATTGAAACAACACATTTGAGGAATAGGCTCTTCTTATTTTAGTAGCCAAGCAACAAACGAATTTCCATGCAACCCATCCGTAGACATCAAAACGATGCTCATCTCACAGTCGTCACGTTTTTCTGAGAATGAAGAGAAACAAAAAAGGGGTTGGAAAGAAATCGAATAGGAAATAGGGGATTACTCAATTCCAATCCCAACCGAATCTCATTTCAAAAAACTCTCAACCAACTAATCCCACATTGCCTCGAGATTCTTTTTTCTGTAATGTGTTTCTGAATGGACTGTAAGATTGATGTTCTCATTTCCTTTTTCTCTAAAAAACCAGCCTTCAAATTTCCGGAGCACAAGTCCCTCAACCCCAATAGGTTCGCTCCTTTCCTCTTTTCCTTATTCATTCCACTCATCCATCAGGGAACCAAAAAGAAAACGAATAAGAAGAAGAGTCTTCGGAGAAGAGCGTCTAATAATCCCTGCTTCAAATCATTGTGCCAACACAGACACACTTTATGGGCCAGAACCACGCTATTTGAAGAGCAACGACGACGATGACGAGCGCCCAAGAGGTCTCCAGAGCTCTTTTCACAAATTCTCTTCTTTCAAAACCGGTGGTTCCTTTCAAGTTTGTGTTTCCTTACAGACATGTCATCTAACCGGTTTCAAAACTTGCAAAACTGGACCAATAAGCATGTGTTCAGTAACTCGTTGGATTACTGGAATCAGGAAATGCACGATGTTCCATCTTATCAGAATCAACAAACATCGGGAGAAGGTGAGAGAGCGGTGGTTTGAAAAATGTTTATGAATGATTTTCGGTTACGGTAATTTTACTAAACTAATTCTATATTTCTCAGGATCCAATCAACGTCCGGATCACCTTGAAATCATTCAAGAGATCGCAATTTCTGAACAACCTCTACCTGATGATGTTCCAAAACAACAAGAACCTGTCGATGATGGACATGGAGCATCCTCCGAACCGATATCAGCTCTTCAGGCTGCGTGGAATGTTACCAATGCGATTCAAGGAATGTTTATAGTCGGACTCCCAATTGCTGTCAAGGTTGGCGGTTGGTGGTCTATTGGAGCCATGATCGGAGTTGCATATGTCTGTTACTGGACAGGAGTACTTCTCATCGAATGTCTCTATGAGGATGGAGTCAAAAAACGTAAAACGTATCGTGAAATTGCGGATTTCTATAAACCAGGATTTGGTAAATGGGTTCTCGCTGCCCAGCTCACCGAACTTCTATCCACTTGTATTATCTATCTGGTCTTAGCTGCTGATCTCTTACAGAGCTGCTTTCCGAGTGTCGGTGAGTTAACTAATTAAATATTCAAATAGAGAAAAATTCGTTCAGATAAGCCAGGGTGGATGATGATCGTTTCGGCATCTTTTCTGACTTGCTCATTTCTGGATGATCTTCAAATAGTGTCTCGTTTGTCTTTCTTCAATGCCATCTCTCATTTGGTTGTTAATTTGATTATGATGATTTACTGTCTGTCATTCGTATCGTAAGTTTTTATTATAATTTAGATTTCCATTCGAATGTTCTAGTCAATGGTCATTCTCCTCTATCACTTTTGCTTTGAACATCAACACTCTTCCCACTATTGTCGGAATGGTTGTTTTCGGATACACATCTCACATCTTCCTCCCGAACCTTGAAAGAAATATGAAGAACCCATCTGAATTCAATATGATGCTCAAATGGTCTCACATCGCCGCTGCAATATTCAAAGTTGTTTTCGGAATGCTCGGTTTTCTTACTTTTGGAGAGCTCACACAACAGGAAATTTCAAATTCCCTTCCAAACCAATCTTTCAAGATATTAGTCAACTTGATTCTTGTCGTGAAGGCTCTTCTCTCTTATCCTCTTCCATTCTATGCTGCAGTACAATTGCTAAAGAACAATTTGTTCATGGGATACCCTCAGACACCATTTACGAGCTGCTATTCTCCAGATAAATCACTTCGAGAATGGGCTGTCACTTTACGAATTATTTTGGTTCTCTTCACACTTTTCGTCGCATTATCCGTCCCGTATTTGGTGGAATTGATGGGATTGGTAGGAAATATTACAGGTACTTCCCTTTTTAAATGTCTGGTGTAATTGAGATTTTTAGGAACTATGCTGTCCTTCATCTGGCCAGCTCTGTTCCATCTTCACATCAGACAAAAAGCACTGAACAATTTCGATAAACGGTGAGAGTGAAATTGAAATTTGGATAAAATTATTTCTCGTTTTTTAGTTTCGACCAAGGAATCATCATAATGGGATGCAGTGTTTGCCTTTCTGGAGTCTATTTCTCATCGATGGAACTTCTTCGAGCTATTAATTCTGCTGATTCCTAACTATTACTGCCATTACTATGCTTTCATAATTAGTTTTTTAAATTCAATTACTTTTGCTGAATTCTGTATTTTAAACCATCTAGGTAATTTCTTTATAATATCCCCTCTGCAATCATCAGTTATCATTCTATTCATTTAGTATTTGTACGCTTTTTATTTAAATAAATTTTGTACCCGTTCGAAAAAAAAGAACCCTCAGTCAAAATCTAGTGTACGATCTTTCTCAAAAAACGTCTTGTTCTTTAAGTGACCGGTTTTCGCAACTCCACTTATTTTTCATTCCCGAGATAATTAGAAAGTCGTACCCTTCTCAAGTGGGCCAAATCGATCCTTCTCGATGTCCAAACTTTCAAAGATTCTCTTTAATTCAAAATTTTTTATTGTGAAAAAAAAAACGTTTTTCAACGGCAAGAAAAAGTAAATATGAAAAACACTTTGGCGAAATTTGAAAAAAATTATAAGAAGGACAGAAAAAAAAACAAAGACTGAATGAAAGAATGAAATGAAATGTGTTGTGAGCAATTATTCGTTTTTTTGAAGTCACCGACTCATCTGAAGGCTCGGCGAAAAAATTCAACAAGAAAAAATGAATACGCGTATCTAAATGAAAGGGGCAAAATACACGTATTAAGAACAGAATATATAGGTGAATACATAGAAAATTTGAAAAAAAAATAGAATCTCTATTTCTTGGTTACTGAAGTTGAGGTTTGGCTGGTGACCACCTCGGTTTTATATCTCTCCGATTCTCCATTAACAAATGGTTCAAAGCTGTGACTCTTGTTGACGATGGTTCGTCTATCTCCAACCGAATGCTCGACGTCTTCTTCTTCTGAGCAATATTCTTCGACTTCTCGATTCTCAGAACTTGTATGTTCGTATCCGCGTGCAGCTGTCATTCCACGGGCTCTTCCGATTGAGAACTCTTCGACACTGTCTCCGCGTTCTCTGGAAAACATAGAATCGGTTTTGTTATCCTTTCCATTTTCGAATATTTATAAAATACAGTAATCTTTTTTATTTTCGAATATTTTTTCCCTACAGTAATCCTTCAAATTTTCGAATATTTTTCCCTACAAAAATCCTTTCAACGAATTATTTTTTTCTTAAAATACACATTTGAGGGACACCTAAAGATCCTATTTTTCTCACCAATATCCTTCACATTCTCATAAACCAAAAGTGACCCATAACTAACCTTTCTCCAGTGTTTCTGATGCTTGATATCCACTGTTATGAGCTGAACTTTCCATTCCAGAACTCGAATATCCGGCAGATGTTGCTCTTTGAGCCATGCTCTGAGCCATACTTTGCTGCTGTTGTTGCTGTTGAGACGATTGAGATTGATAGATTCTCTCACCACCAGAGAATGAAGAGCTGCTTGATTCGTTTTGCTGAAAGTACCCAATTTATAATATTCTATTCACCTTTTTGTTCTTACCATATAACCACCTCCATGGATTACTGTAGTGTCTCTTGGATGCACTGCTTCTGTAGTCGTCACAGTTGTATTTCCTTGCTCATCAGTAGTGGTTGTTGTCTTGATTTCCTTGGTCGTCACATCAGTTATCACCTTTCTCTCGATCTCTTCCTTGATTGTGTATTCAGAAGATGCTTCTGACATACTGTCAAACGAGTGTTCTCCATGTCCATCCACAAGATGAGCACGTGGAATTCTGACTGCGTTCTCATCCAAATACTGATCAAGACGGGCCACTTCCATACTTCTTGACTCGTTAGCAGCTCCAGATGCCATCATTCCACCTGACTTCAGTTTTGCTCTTGGAATTCCCATCATATCTGGATAATATTCATTTCCAGCAGCACTCATAGCACCTGATTCCGACGACGATGATCCTTCGAGTGTCGACCATGGCCAAGCACCTCCTCTTCTGTATCCGAATCCGTTTGCTCCGGCACCAGCGAATGGTCTTCCCTTGAAACAGTGACACTTAGTACAGAAGTATAATAGACAGCAAAGAGTGAGGAGCAAGAAAAGAAGAGCGAGAAGAATGAGGAGGACCAATGAAGCATTTGATGGAGCAACTTGGCATTGTGGTCCAGTCCATCCATCAGTACAGACACAAGTGATGTTGTTTGTGGCTGTATTGTGAACACAATCTCCATGAGCATTGCATAAATCACAGAGGAGAGCTCCACAAACTCTTCCTGGCTCGTCTGGATTTCCATCGATGTATCCTTCTGGACACTTGCAAGTGTACCCGACAGCCTTATCGATACAATGAGCAACTCCAGAACAGTTATTCAATCCAAGAGCACACTCATCGACATCTCTGACATGCATACACAAAGTGTCATCTCCAAGCATCAGAGCAGTCCGTTTCTCTGATTTTCGAATATCCATGAATCCAGGATCACACTTGCATTCAGCTTGTTGTTCCATATTCTTGCAGGTGGTGTTGGTGGGACAGAAGTTAACATCACTACAGTAATCCAGGACACAAAGGGATCCAGGAACAGATCCGACTGGTGAATTATCATAGTACGAAGGAAGACATTCACATTTGTAGAGATGTTCCAGATCAATACATCTAGCATTCTCACTGCATTCGTTGTCTTCTTTCCTCTCACATTCGTTGAATCCATGAACAGGAAGACACTTCTTTCCAGGCGTCTGTGGATTGATGTCTCTGTATCCAACTCCACATTCACATTTATAGGTGTATTTTGATGTTTCAATACACTTTCCATGTGGATCACAATCATTCTTGAAGCATGGATTGAATGGATTTGGCTGTGTTGGATTGAGATACAGTTCAGAATCTCCCACTTCGTTGTTGTTCTCTTTGGTGATGTATTTGACAAGTTGGTAGTAAGCATCAGATGGAACATGAACCATTCCTTTCCGGAAGTGGACAGTGGTGTTGAACATCAGTCCAGTATCGTAGGATGCATTCAGAAGAACTGGGTTAACAATATCGTTAACTTCAGCAGTAACAAATGCATTCCTGAGTTCAGTATGTGGATAACATCCTTCGATTCCTTTCTCAAGTCTCTTTGAATAGTCCTTGTAGACAGGCGTTTGTGGATTGTCGAACGATTCACTGAACACAATTGGCTTCTCCTTGTCACGAACAACCCAAAGCGGAACATTCCAGCTCTCAACGACGCGACATTCCGAGTTCGCATCTCTTCGCTTCATTCCATTCGGACATCCACAAATGTGACCAGCAATACAAATTTCTTTCAGATGTTCTCTGCAGCTCATTCCTCCACAGTTACCCCATTCCTCTTGCTGTTTGCATGGATTCAAAAGGTCAGTGTCAGAAGCAACACGAAGTGATCCTCCTCCAATGGCACCATTTGTTCTGTCCAACGAGGCTTGCATCTGTTTCCACAACTCACATTCATCGATTGGTTGATTCTGAGACTTGGTGGTTTGTACTTCATACTTGAACAGCAATCCTTGATCCCAGGAGCTGTTCTTAGTCTTTGGATGAGTGATGTAATCAACTTTGGTGTTCACATATCGTGGTGCGAGAGATGTTCCTCCGAATGTTCTTGCCATATTCTTCTCGAAAAGTTCCACAATTTCCACATAAGCTGGACTCTTTTGTGATCCGAATTCTGTTGAATACATCAATGGTCTCTGATCCCTGGTGACAACTCTCAATTCGAATGGATTCTCTTGAACTGGTTGACACTTTCCAGTGCTTGCAGATCTCCCCTCTCCTGGTTTACATCCACAATATTCTCCACTGATGCAAACTTCTCCTCTTGCCTTGATACAATCATCTCTTCCGCATGGGAACTCTCTTCTTGGTTCAGATTGAACTGTGGTCACCTTGACTCGTTCGATGTGTTCTTCTTGTTGGAATTCGATACAGATACGTCCTGGTTCTTGAGGATTTGGCGACTGGTCGTAGAATCCGTGTCTGCAAGTACAGGTGTACCCATAGTCCAGGTCACGGCAATCAGCGTTTCTATCACAAGTGTTTCTATTGCTATCAAGGCATTCATTGAGGCGACAGATCCTTCCTGGTGATTGTGGCGGTCCTTCGTCACGATATGGAGCTTTGCAGGTGCACTCGTATCCTCCAGCAGTATCGATGCAGTTCGCATTTCTGTCACAGTCATTCAAATTTGAAGAATCGCATTCGTTGATCACTGAAAAATAGTGTTGAGTTGGGGTGATAGAAGAATTTGAACTTACTAAATGAGCATCTGTGTCCTGGATGAGATGGATCGTCATCATGATATCCGTGACGACATCTGCATTTGTATCCATTCTCCTGATCAATACAATCAGCAAAGGCAGAGCAGCTGTTCAAGGATGGGTTGGCGCATTCGTTGACTGACAACGAACAGATTCTTCCTGGTTTTCTTGGATCTGGAGACTGATCTTTGGCATTGATCGGACATTGACAAGTGTATCCATTTGGCAAATCTTTGCAGACAGCCAAAGAGTGGCAATCATTCAATGATCTATCAAGACATTCATTGACCATTCCCTTGCAGATTCTTCCAGGACGACGAAGTGGATCAGGTGACTCATCAGTGTATCCATCTCTACATTTACAAGTGTATTTCTCTGGATCATTTACTTCACTACAAATAGCAGCAGCATGACAATCATTCTGCTCTGGATCCAAACAAATCGGCTCGGTGAGAACACAGAGTCTTCCTGGTTTGGCGAGTGGGCTTGGAGAACGATCAGCATATCCAGCAAGACATTCACAAGTGTAGCTTTGAGCGCCAGTATCACGGCATGTTCCAGCTGGATGACAGTCGTTTCTTTCTGGGTCTTGACATGGATGACGTGGTGGTGGAGATGGAGGGGGTGGTGGTTCACAAACTCTTCCACGTTGAGAAGAATCTGGTGATCGATCTATGAACCCACGTTTGCATTCACAACGATATCCTCTTGGCTCATCATAGCAAATTGCGTTTCGAGAGCATGTGTTGAGACGAGGATCGTGACAAGCGTTATCTGAAAATGTTGAAAACGTTCAATTGAAATTTTAAACACCTCAAACTCACTTCTAACACAAACCCTTCCCTTCTGGCTGCCTGGAGACTGATCAACGTATCCTTGAATACAGACGCACTGATATTTCATTCCTCCAAGTGGTTCACAAACAGCAGCCGATGAGCAATCATGATCTGGTGGGCAGACTTCTGGTGCAGAACAGACACGTCCTGGTTGGCTGGCAAGATTTGGAGACCGATCCACGTATCCATCACGGCATTCACAAGTGTATCCTTCTTCAAGATCACGGCAATCGGCATGGTTACTGCAGGTATGACGTCCTTCACGACATTCATCCACCAGTTTGACACAAACTCTTCCTGGGCGGGCAAGCTTGTTTGGTGAACGATCGACGAATCCGTTGGGGCATTCGCAAGTGAATGATTGCTCATTGTCACGGCAAGTAGCAGATGGATCACAGTCGTGAACTCCCGTTTCGCATTCATTGATGACTGAAATTCAGAAAATTAAAACTTGAGTAAAGATAAGGTTACTTACACATAAGGCATACTCTTCCTGGGAACGATGGACTTGGGGAAATGTCTTTGGAGTTGACAGGGCAGTCGCATTCATATGAATCCATAATATCCTTACATCTGGCATTCTTATCACAATCGTTGAGACGTGGATTGGCACACTCATTGACAAGTTCTCGGCAAGCTCTTCCTTTGAGAGTTGGAGATGGAGAGACATCGATGAATCCATCTCTACATTCACAATCATATCCTTCTTCCTTATCAATACATCTGGCATTTCTATCACACGAGTTGAGAGATGGTCTCGAGCATTCGTTGATGAGCTGTTTGCAGATTCTTCCAGGTCTACCATGAGAATGATCCATGAATCCTTGATTACACTTGCACTCGTATCCTTCATCCAAATCAATGCATGAAGCATGTTGATGACAGTCGTTCAGATGTGGATACTGACATTCATTAACCATTGGTTTGCACATTCTACCCGGTCGTTTACGATCTCCGATGTCTTTGAATCCGTTCTTACATTGACATATGTAACCTTGAACTTGATCAATACAATCCGCAGCGGTGTGACAATCGTTTAACTGAGCGAACAAGCATTCGTTGATCACAGAACACGAACCAGAAGAGTCTCTTTGATAATTGACAGGACAAGAACATTTTGGCTCTCCTCCAATTATTCTGCACACTTCATTCAAATGAACCTTACATTGGTTTGGTCCATCGAGACGACATTCTGGTGGCGGAGGTGTTGGACGAGGTTGACAAAGTCTTCCAGGATGAGTTGATCGATGTGGAGAGACGTCAAGGAAGTCTTGAGAGCATTGACACGTGTATCCTTGGGGAAGATCTTGGCAGATTGCGTTGACGTGGCAATCATGCTTCTGAGCACGACATTCATCAAGAAGAGCTGGTCGACAGATTCTTCCTGGACGACGAGAGGTATCTGGAGACTCATCGACAAAGTCGTCACGACATCTGCACTTGTAGGATTCTGGAGTGTCAATGCAGTCGGCATTCGGAGAACAATCATGACGGTTGGACGTGCACTCATTGATTCCTGAATTTTCTGGCTTAAATTAAATATTGAAATCTACCGTATCTCGATCTACAGTAATCCTAGAAATATGAAACTAGTACCATTTGACTCGGTGTGTCAAAAGCTTTTAAGTAAGTATAATCATGACTAGTTTCAGGGTTTTTTGGGATTACTGTAGTTTCCGTGCCGGGACCTAAAAATGTCCGGAAATGATCCTGCAAGCATTCCAAATTAATCATGATTATACTCATTTGAAAGCTTTTGACAAACCAAGTCGCTGGGTGTAAATTTGATGTCTCCAAATTTACTTTCTCTCGAGATACGGTAGATTTAATTTTTCGATCAAACTACGGAAACCCAAAAATTTATTGAAAACCAGTCATGATCATAATAATTTGAAAGCTCTAGACAAGACAAGTCGATTGGTGTATATCTCAGCTTTTCGGAATACTGTATCTCGAGATAAGATTTTTGGGATATTTCAGCAAATTTTTGACTCTATATTCTCCAAACAAATGACTCGCTTTCCAAGCAGCTACGATTCGGATGTGAAAATGTTTCAATCACTTACTCAACAAACATCGTCTTCCTGGTCGGTTGATTGTATCTGGAGACAAATCGATGTGAGACTGAGGACAAGCACAGATGTAGCTGTCTTCTGTATCAGTGCAAGTAGCCTCTTCAGAACAATCATTCTGCCCTGTTTGACATTCATTTATCAATCTCTTGCATTTTCTTCCTGGTCGAGTCACACGATCAAATGACACATCCAAGTAGTTCATGGCACAACGGCAAGTGAAAGAATCTGGAGTATCTTCGCAGATTCCGCCATCCCGAGCACAATCATCCGCTCCAAGAGCACACTCATTTTGAACTAAAAATTAACAATTTGGATCAAGTATCCCGAAATGAACTTACGTGGCTTGCAGAGTCTTCCCGGTTTGACTAAAATACTTGGTGAGATATCCAAAAATCCTTGACGACATCTGCACATGTAACCGTCATCTGTGTCAGTACAGATAGCACGATCCGGAGAGTCACAATCATTCAAAGTTGGATTATCACATTCCGGAATAACAGGAATACAGAGTCTTCCTAGTCTTGAAGGGGATGGAGATTTATCCTTGAATCCTGGAGGGCAAGCACATGAATAATCGTCATCTCCGACCTGAATACATCTGGCGTTTCGATCACAATCGTTCTTTCCTGCCGAGCATTTATCATTGGTTTTTACTGAAAATTAGTCAAATTTCGATAAGAAATTATCCCGCAAAGCTTACTCTTTTCACATCTTCTTCCTGGATTTCCGAATTCGTCCATATCAACGAATCCTGGTTTGCAGATACACGAATATCCTTCGATTGTGTCAATACAGTGAGCGTTACGATCACATTGATTCAACCGTGGATTAGCACACTCATTGACCAACTCCTTACACACCATTCCAGGGAACGTTTGTGGATTTGGAGAGTAGTCGACGAATCCAGACTTGCATCTACACACATATCCTTCCTCGGTATCAGTGCAAAGAGCATTCGGCGAGCATCTGAAAGAAGTACATAGCTATGCATAGCCATTAATTTGAAAATATCCTTCATTCATGTTTTCTAAATCCCATGTTTAACTTGATCTTTCGATTCTTTCCCATTTGATTCCCATCCAATTCCCATTCGATTCCCCTCTTTCCCATTCCAAATTTTTTGGAAAACGCTATAAAACCATAAAAATTTTATGATCACCGAGGAGTTGCACAGGGAGGCGGGGCAGAGAATTCATGCAAATCGAATTATGCACAGAAAAGGGAAAAGTATAAAAGAGCGAGTACGGAAGGCTGAAAATCAGTTTCATTCTTGATTCTCCTCTCGACATGAACAAAATCTGGGTGGGTTCTCTATTCTTTTTTTTAGTTTCAAAATAATTTGAAACTATTCAGATCGTCTCCCTCTGTCTCATCGCTGTAGCAGCATCCCAGGAGTTTGGATCCTATAGCGGAGGACAACGGACATTCATTGGATACATTGGAGGAGGAAAGGCAAAGAAGTGCAGCACTGGAGCTGATTGTGGATCAACTCAAGTTTGTGCCGATGGGATTTGCGTCGTGGACAACGGATACGGAGGTCGCTGCTCTGCTGATGCCTACTGTCCAAATGGATTTATCTGTGTTGATGGCAAGTGTCAGGAATCCAGAAGATTCGCTAAAACCTGCCCGTTCGTTTGCCCACGCGGAACAGTCTGCACGAATGGAAGTGATAGATGTGTTGCAGTTCCTTCCAACTTCGTCGGAGCTGGTCCATGCCCGATTCGATGCCCAGATGGTCAAGTCTGTAAGAACGGAGCTTGTGTTCCATTCTTTTCCAGCTTCGTCGGAGCTCTTTCATGTCCAATCCGATGCCCAGACGGTCAAGCTTGTAGAAACGGAGTCTGTCTTCCAATCCTCACAAACTTCGTTGGAGCTGGTCCATGCCCAATCCGATGCCCAGATGGACAAGCTTGTAAAAATGGAGTCTGTCTTCCATTCCGTTCGTTCGCCGATAAGCCATGCAGCACCGGAGCTGATTGTGAAGCTTCTCAGTTCTGCGTCGATGGAAAGTGTGTCGTTGACAACGGATACGGAGGTCGCTGCTCTGCTGACGCCTTCTGCCCTAACGGATTCATCTGCATCAATGGCAAGTGTGCCAAGAGCAAGCGTCACTTCACCCTCCCATGCACTGCTCCATGTCCACCAGGACAGAAATGCATCAACGGAGCTTGCGTTGGAATCGATATGTTCAATATTTTCTATTGATTTCGTTAAAAATATATTCTATTAATAAACTCTCAAGCATTCAACTGATTCTTTTCCTTTTTTTGTTAACTCACCGATTCGATCCATCGAGACATTCATTTTGCAGAGCAACGCAAACTCTTCCAGGTCTTTCAGCTGGATTTGGAGAGTGATCGATAAATCCATTTAGACAAGCACAGATGTAACTCTCATCAGTGTCAATGCATCTAGCCGAACGATCGCAATCGTGTTCTCCAGTCAAACATTCGTTCTTCACTGAAAAATTTCTCTTAATTTAAGATGTTCTCTCTGAAAAGGGCTTACAGCAAATATCAGTAATCGGATGGCGTCTCTCGTTTCTTCCGCATTGACAAGTGTAGATATTTCCATGTGGAAGACACTGTTGTCTCTTTCTGACATCACAGGACATTGGATCGTTTGGATTACATGATCCTGGATAAGCACATTGTCCATTTCGAATTCTCTCAAATCCTGGAAGACATTCACAGAACCAATCGGATCCATCATTTGTGCATCTCTCGTTTTCTGAGCAACGGAGTCCACCATTGTGACAGTTGGCATCGTGCTGTGGAGAGATGTGAACCTCCTTCACGGATACTGAAAATAAAGAAGGTCATCCAAAAAAGCTTTTGATAATCTCACCGCAGAATCCGCTTCTGTAATCTCTGTTGTATCCATCTGGGCAAGCACATCTGAAGTTCTTGTACGGAGTGATCTGGCACTCTTCTGGGAAGATACAGGAAGTGATGAGTTGTGGATTACATAGATCTCCTCCACAGACACGTGTCAATGGATGTCTTGTGAATCCTTCTGGGCACACACATCTTGGACGGCCACCATCAACAGCACAATGCTCATTCAGACTTCTATCACAGCCAGTTTGAGTTCTTGGATTACAAACATCATCAATTGGAGTTTCTTGTTTGGTTGGAGATGGACAAGCGGCCTTCTGGATCATAGATCGAAGTCTGGTATCCAAATCTTTGAACTTGTCGACGTAGAACCAGCGGTTTGGAGATCCAGCAATCGATTCAAGTTCACTAGCCAAGACGTGATCAGTGACTCCGATAGCGAAAGTATTGATGGAGAGTTTTCGGGCGGCATCAGCTGGTCCTGTCACATTATCCTGAGATCTTCCATCTGTGAGAATGATAGCAACTCTGGCAATATCATTCTGTTGCGGTCTGGCCCCTCGTCTCTCACTGAATCCTTCCTGAACCATATGCTGAATCGCAGCTCCAGTTCTAGTCAACCCAGTAAGATATTGTGTTTCAGAAATGCCCTTTAGAAGTGAACTTCTATCTCCATACTGATCCAAATCAAATTCGTGACGAATTTGATCTGAGTACTGGATTAACCCAACCCTAGTCTTGCCTCTTCCAATTTCAAAAAGCTCCACAAATTCGCGAACAAATCGGAGTACCTCGTTTTTGAATACGTAAGATCCAATGGATCCAGATCCATCAATCAAGAAAACGAGATCAGTCTTCTGTTTTGGACATGTTGTTTGTACTGTGCAGACACGTCCAGGTGGCAGATTAGCATTTGAAGAGACATCAACGAATCCACCGTAACATTGACACGTGTATCCATCTGGAGTATCGACGCAGTCGGCGTTCTCATCACAAGTGTTCAGTGATTTCTCCGAACATTCGTTATTTGAATTGGTACAGTGTCTTCCAGGTGGTTTGTTGTATCTGCTACTGACGTCAATGAATCCATCAAGGCATTGACAAGCGTATCTAAAAAAGAAAAAGAATTGGTCAGTCGGAAGTTAAAAGGCTTTTTACCCATTAGTGGCATCAATGCATCTGGCATACGGTGAACATTCATTATCGGATGACGCGCATTCATTGATCACTGGATTAAAATGAGATGAAATGGAATGAGATTAGCGGTTTTGAGACTTACGTTCTTTACAGATTCTTCCAGGTGCATTAGCAAGATCCGCAGACAAATCAATGAATCCCGGACGGCATTGGCAAGTGTAAGAATCAAATCGGTTCAAGCAAATGGCATTTTTATCACATGAATTGATTTTCGAACAGGCAGAATAGACTAAAAAAGAAGAGCTAGAAGAGTTCTCTGAACACTTTTTTACCTCTACAACTTCCATCGGTGTATCTGAAAGCAGTCTCAATGCATTCGCAAGTGTGTTGACCGTGACGACTGATACAAGCTTCATTAGCTCCACACTTTGGATGCTGAAGAGTCACTGGTTAGAGTTATACCGCTTCCAATAAATTATATTTACCTTTGGATCACACCCGTCATCAGTCGAAAATGAAGTATCCTTCAAGTCTGTCTTGATTTGTTCAACTGGTTTTGTACAAATTCTTCCCGGATGACGAGCAGCATTTGGAGAGTTATCAACGTATCCTGGACGACAAGAACAGATGTATCCTTCTTTTGCATCTTCACAGAATGCGTTCTTGGAACAATCATTCAGAGATGGAGACGCGCATTCATTGATGGCTTCGATACAACGACGTCCGGGAAGTTTGTTGAAAGAAGCTGAGACATCAGCGAATCCAGGACGGCAACGGCAAGTGTAACTATGCTCGGTGTCAACGCAGATGGCATTTTCAGAGCAGTCGACGTTGTATTTTTCTCTGAAATAGACCAATATCTAATTCAGGAAACAAGAGCAGCAAGTAACTCACTTGTTACTGCACTCATTGACTCGAGCTCTGCAAATTCTTCCAGGTTGAGATGCTGGTGAAATATCAGCATATCCACTTCGGCATTGACAAGTGTATCCCTCAGCAAGATCAATACATTCAGCATTCTTTCCACACGAATTCAATCTTGGCTCTGCGCATTCATTTATAACAACACATCTTCCATCTGGTAGTCGAGAGTACCCATTGGCGCAACGACATTTGTAGGTGTTTTCGACGAAGATGCACACTTCCCTTTTCCCAGGATCACAACTCATTGGATCACTAACATCACACTCTGGTGGATCCGGAATCACAGCTGGAAAAAATTCATACTAGGCACAGGCTTCCTTTTAAAAAGCTTACTTCTGACGCAAACTTTTCCAGGATGCTTTACAGTATCTGCACTTTCGTCTCTATAACTATCTTTGCATCTGCAAGTGAATCCATCGGCAGTATCAATACACGTGGCATGAGAAGAGCAATCATGTCGTCCCTCAGCACATTCATTCACAACGGCACGACATACTCTTCCAGTTGGTCTTCCGTGTTGTCTGGATACATCGACGTATCCACTTACACATTGACACATTGGTCCAATTGGTGTTTCACGGCATTCGGCTTCAGCGGCACAGTCGATGTTCGAACACATGTCGGCTGTAAAATTGATTTATGAGAATCCATTGTTTTGCCTTTTGTTTGAATTTTTTGTAAGTTTTCAGCCTTCTTTGTGGTTTCAGAACTATGAATGGCAGTTTCCCCAACTCATGTTTCAGATGTTCTTAGACACTTATCCAACTCAAAACCCTGTACTTTTCAAGCATCAGAATGTTGCCAACACCATCATCATCCTCTTTTTACCGGTTTCCATGGCTTGCCAATGTACAAAACTTTCTTGTTGATCCCTATCCCTCTTCTTCCTCCTACTTCTTCTTCTTCTTCACCTCATACTTCTCTATTCAACTATGCAACTAAACAAGAAGACGCAAAGGGATCTTCTTCGGAAGAAGGGGATTTACTTGTGTGTCCAACAGCACACAAACTGGTATTCTTGACGAATATGACGACAGTGTTCATCGTGTATTTTGAAAATAATGCGTAGGGCAAAAAATGGGTTCTTGTGCATACAAATGCAACATTAACTTTTCACACTCTTGGTTTTTTTGGGAGGGGTGACTCACCTTTTCTACAATTGCGTCCTGGGTTACGGAGAGGATCGAGAGAGGTGTCTGACCATCCGCTTCTGAAATTTTGAAAGTTACGGAAAGAATCACAGGGCATGGAGCATTTCACATGCTCCTATAGTTTTCTCTCAAAGTTTCCAGAATAGTTTCTAAGTCTTTTTAAAAATATTTACAGAAAAGCATTTCAAACCTTCATTTTCTTACTTTGGTTAAGTTTGAAAATAAGAGAATATGCTAATTTCAAGATGGAAGGATGTTCTTCTATTGAAAGTTTTATTTCAATATCCAGCGAAAACATTAGTTTGTTGGGATACTGTAGCTACCAAAAACATTTTGAGTTCGATCAACCATTATTATTCACCTTGACCCAGTATCCAAGGGTACATCGAAAAAGGGTACATCCAGAGGTACATGGGTTTTTTGGTACATGTGGGAAGACGAAACAATTTTTTTTAAAGTTTTGTTCACTTTTGCCCAAAATCATAGGCTTAGGCTAAAATGCCCAACACCCCAAGGTCCCATGTACCCTCTGAACCAATGTACCATAAGAACTCGATGTACACTTGGATCCTGGACCATTCATCTTACATCAAATATTTCACATTTAAAAACCAACAACTTTTCCATACCTGCATTTGCAAGTGTATCCTTGATGTGTATCAATACAATCGGCATGAGGATCACAAGTATGTCTTCCAAGAGCACATTCGTCCACAGCTGAAAAAAAACAGACAGTTTGGTTTCTGATGACCACCATAATTATTTCAGTTGACCAACATTTTCCTCCATTTTTACTTCTCTTTTTTGGAACCGATTTTCTCAGTTTTTCCTCTTTTCTCGTTTGCCCTCCCAAATCATTCCATTCCCGAGGAGACGTCCAATTGAATGAATATGCGCGAAAACTCAAGGTGAATTGGATAGTTTCGTATCATGTTCGTTTCTAGCAAAACGCCAATTACACTCTTTTTTCTCTTCTTATTTTTTGATTTCTCCTTCCCATTGAAACGAAAAGACACCGGGAAAGAAGGGAAAAAATCGCATTGCTCATCACTCTTTTTAGGAAGGTCAACCTCCCCGTTTATAGGATTATCTTTTATTTTTTTTAGATGCTAAACTTTTAATACTATTCCGTTACGGTAACCGTTACCGAATTTCGAAACGTTTCATTTAGATTCCAGAAGAAGTGATAACACACACTCCCATCACAAACATTTTTAATGACTAATTCAGCAGAACGTCCTTGACCCATTAGAAGCCCACACTAGCCAGTTTCCTTATCCCGATTCCTTTTTTGTTCTGTTCCCTTCTTCTTCTTATCACTTTATCTGATCAACTGTCTACATCCTCCAAATCAGTTGTAAAAAAGATGATGAAGAAGAAGAAGGAATCGACATACTAAAAGGACACCACCGCGCCTTGATTCTGATTCTAAATCCTTTTTCGCTTACCTCTCACACATTTTCGTCCAGGAAACCGTTTGTCAGTTGAGGCATCAGTGAATCCTTTCGGACACTGACATTGGAAGTAACCGGGTTGTTCGGAGAAGCATTCGGCCACTGGGTCACAATCATGAAGAGAGTAGTCCTGACATGGGTTGGCTCCTAGATGAATAGAGCATTGAAAAAGGAAGTACGAAAATTTGGAAAGTTAGTATACTCTAGTGAATTTTTAAATTTAACAGTGATGTTTATATAGAACGGCAGTACCTGTCACTTTGACCTTAATTAGCTCGATTCCCAAAATAAATGTCAAAAAGAGATAAGAGATAGAATAATAATCACAGTTTTTGATTGGCTTATCACTTTTCCGAATATATCTTCTTGGAAATCAAAAGGATTAAGCTGAAAGTGACGGGAAAGGCTTCCTGGCACAACTCAAGAGCTCGGTGCAAAAAACTTAAAGATATGGAGTGGAATTCAGCTGAGCTATCAAGCTTGAATCAGCTAAATAAAAACGATAATAGCTCTGGAGCTTGATCTAGGACGCAAAACAAAGTAGTGCCAATGAAAATGATTTCAAAAAGTGCATCTACCATAATCTGTAAGCTAAAAGGGACTTTCCTTTAAACCTGTAATAGAAGGGCCCCCACATATTGTCAAGTTAAAGCTAATTTATCTTGGATTCTATACAAAATATCAAAAAATGTGTCAACTGATAAAATGTTTGTGATATTATGATAAACAATTTTTCAGTTGACAACTTTTGTATACCTTTAACAGGAACCGATATAAGTTGGCTCAAAGTTAGAAGTTAGGGGCCTCTTGTTTTCAAGGTTTTACAGTATACCCTAAGAACTAGATCAGGGAAATACCGGAAAGATTGGTGAAAAATACAAACCAATTCCAGAATTTATAACTTTCAAGACCCTAATAATAAAATGTAAAAGTACATGTGTCTAGTTAACAGCTAGTTATTCTCATATTTCTTCCTTCTATGTCTTCCGGCCGCGCCACTGTCAATCCTTTTTCTATTACCCAATTACTTCACGCCGTAGGGTGCTTACTTGTTCTCACTCAATTTTAATTTGTTTCACACGGTAGCGAACTGTGACTCCTAGGTGGAAACATGAGTAGATTATTGAAAATATGCTTTGTAGGTAGCCGAGTACTGTGTATGTACAAAAGTTGCGCGGCGCAGAAAGATGAACGAGGTCAATGTGATGGTGTTGCTACTACAAGAAGAAGAAGAATAAGACGAGTTTTGTTCTCTTCTGGATGCAATTTTAAATTACCACATGAATCCTCATCGCGAGATTTGCATTTTTTATGTATGTCTCTAACAAATCGGCGGGCGGGTGATTCCGTTTTGTGACAAAACGGAAATGGAAATGAACTTATTGTGGTGTAGGACGACGAAAAGTGCAAAAAATTGTTTGAGAAAAGAAAAGGTGTAAAAGCTCAAAATGAAAGAAAGTGCAGATTTTTCTTACCCAATCGTGAACGTCCACCACAAGAGTTATCTGCACATCGCAAGGCTTTTGGTATATCTAGAAAACGGACAAAAGGATCTTACCGGATACGATAGGCGGGAATGCCGAGAATAGTAGTAGTAGTATGCCTAGAGACAGGCGTCCCATTATCAGTAAAAGTCAGTAATCTTGAAAACCCTCCAATTCTGATAACTGATTATCAATAAAAACCGTCCCAGAAGAGAGATTTGATCGGGAAAAAAGTGGGAGGGAGAGTATATGGGTATGGAAAAAGCGTGGACTGATGACCGTCTTGTTCTTGAAGGAGGGAGCGGCGACGCAGGAAGTAGACGACGTGATGGGAGAGAAAAGAAGGCGGGACTATTCGTCTTTTGCCTACAGGAGGGCGCGGTAGTTGAGAATGTATCTCGCCCCCCGACGCTTGGATGCTGCTGGTCGCTTAGAAAATACCAAGCATATAGTTTGGGAAAAGAGATGAGGGTAAGAAAACGAGGGATCACAGACAAAAAAACTAGCTAATCTGACTGGATACTTTTCCCGAACATAGAGACATAAGAATAAAAAGCAACACCCCATTCCCAGATGTTCGTTTCTTCTTTTTTGGCGGAATAGGTTTAGCCGCACCTTCCGTCAATAAGCTTCTAAGCAAGAGATACTGAGAATAGAAGCGAATCACAGATGATGTTAATGGTCTATTGAACTTCTTGATTAGCACAGTAAGTACATCTGCACTTTTATAAAACCGAGGGACCTTCTGAAACTCCAGCGTCAAACTGCAATCTCAAACACTGACTGGGTTCTTGTTCTCGTCTGTTTCAATTTCCATAACCCGCTGCCTCGGAGAAAGCTAAACTAGCAGGAGATAAAATCTTGTAATGGCAAAGTTCGCCTTAGAATTCCGGAAATGCTTTAGCGCATCTGACTAGCCATTGTCAAGGAATTTTCAAAATCTCAATTTGGGGTTTCAAAGGTTTTATATCGACTAAATTGTAGTATAGAATCTAATATCCTAAATTCGAATGCACTGATACTTAATCCACATGAACTTCTAGAGTAAACTCTGATGTGACCAAAACCGTCAACTTTGAGCTTAATTATCTATGTTCTTTCAAAAGATATAAACAAGTTGGTAACTGGTTAATCATTTATCATGAAATCATCAATATTTTATTAGTTGACAAACTTTTGATAGGTCTAAAGGGAGCAGAGATAATTGAGCTCAAAGTTGACGGCTCGAGTGGGTTTAGAGGTAATACCGCATTTGTATTTTTTGCAGCAGTTCAAAAAGAATCGAATACCACTCACTTTTCTCGGGCTGACAGTCCAAATGAGTTTTTGATCCAAAATTGGTGTAACCGGGAAGACATTGGCATACTGTATCTCCCGAAGAATTCTTGAAACATTGCGAAGTTTTCGTTGAGTTGATACTTTCGTCAGCTGAAAATATTCCTTGATTTTTCCACTTCGCTGTTGTTTCCAAAATTCGCATTTTCTTTTCCTAGAGTTTTCATTTCTTCTAGAGATGAGTATCAACAGATTTCCATTATTTTCACTTTTGAGTCTTTCTTCTTTCTCTCGTACCGAGAACGATGCTTATCTAATTGGTGGAAGAAGGAGAGAGCGATTGCTTTGGCTGCTTCTCCGTTCCTGTATTAATGATGAATGGGATAGAAAAAAAAGAGAGGATTGAGACAACTGTTTGGAAGAGACAAGAAGAACCGAACATCATCAGAGATTCATGGTGTAGTAAGGGAGGATTTTATCACTTTTACGTAACTTATCATGAAAAACGAAGATTTATGGATTTCAGTTTTCTCGGCTAATCTATCTTGAAACGAGAACTAGCTTGCCTTGGTGGTGACAATTAAAACGCAAAAAAAACCAAATGATAAGATTAGAACGGCAAAAAAACAAAGAAAAAGCAGAAACGAGGAAGTAAAACTCTCGAAAATTTTACAGATTAGCAGTGTAAAGTTTTGGTTTCAAATGGTTTTGGTTTTTGGAACACCACCAATTAATGCTTATCAGTTTGTGTTACTGCTAGCAACAATGAATCAGCTAAAAAAAGATTGTGTAACTTTTTGAAAGGAAGTGTCGACTTTTTCTAGAACCAATAAAAATAAACTTCAAGAAAATTAAAACTGTCTATTTGGATTACTATCTCCCTTTCTTTTTTGATTATTCTGAAAAATGCTAATGGTAAACAAAAGTGGGCGGAGTTTGTTCCCTATTTAAAATTGAACTCTCACCTGTGACACATTTTCTTCCTGGCTCCATAGCAGTTGTACTTGCATCTATGAATCCAAAAGGACATCTGAAAATCTCCACATTTTGAACTAATTCAATTCAATTATCATTTTGATACCTGCATGAATACCCAATTGGTTGATCTTGACAAATGGCATGGGGGTCACAGTTATGCAAATTCAGTGCGCATTCATTTATTGCCTTTGTACAATTTCTTCCGGGTTTTCGAGCGCCTTGAGATGAAACATCCACGTAGTCGTCTTGGCATCTGAAGGTGGTCGAATGACGAATCAGACAATTTTCAAATAAACAAAAAACAGCACCTGCAAGTGTATCCAATCGGTTTATCCAGACATCTTGCATTCTGGTGGCAGTCGTTTTGAGAAGCATTTGTACACTCGTTTACCACTGAAAAATAAAAAATTGAAAGAAAAATCAGTCTCTATAATTTCTGGTATCATATCTTCTAACCCCGATCAAAGTTATCGACCGATTGGAACAAAAGAAAAATCATTAACTTTTTTGTGAACCGAGGTATGAAAAGTTTAAGATCCTGAATTTTCGTGTTAGATTATATTAGGTCAAAAGATAGTAACTCACATTTCCTGCACTTCCTGCCAGGTCTCGTTTTTGGTTCAACAGATGTATCCAAAAATCCTTCTCTACACAAACATTCGTATCCAATCAGAGCATCAACACATCGAGCTTCAGGATGACAGTCATGTTTTGCTTGGCGGCACTCATCGATCAATTCTGAAATATTGATAAAAAATTGTTTCTGATTTCCAGACTGACAGAGATTTTCGATTGACCAAGTTTTTGCGAAAACAGTGTTTCAACTAATTTTTTGTGAAATTGTGGAATTTCCGGAATACTTCTTACTGAAAACGTATGAACATTACCCGAACTAATAAAATTTCTCTTATCATTTCTTTTTAATTTGTATGTCTCTAACTCACCCTGGCATGTTCCTCCGAACATTGTAAACCCCTCAGCACATTCACATTCATATTTTCCTTCTTTGTTCCTCTGACACCGTTCGTGAAGTCCTGTGAGCACAATTCAAAATTAATAATCCTATTCGAAAATACTTGAGAATACTCACCACATGTTTTGTTTCCACACTGAATATCGTCTCTATTGAATTTGAGTTCTGGTGGAGTCATGATTGTTCCATAGCTGTCTATTATTTCGTCTGGTATCACACTGACATAGTTTTTCTCTTCTTCTTGGAACATGAATGGAATTCTTTCGGTTCCACTTTCCAAAAAACCATCACTTCCACTGTTTCCTGGCTGTAATTAAAAGAAATTTGAATACCCATAAAATTTGAAAAAAATCTTACAGTAGTGCCGGATAGAGTTCGAGTCGGAGCTCTCCGAATATTGCTCCATCTTTCTAGTTGAGTTTTCGATATATCGTTTTTTCGAAATCCATTCAACAATCCAAATTGCTCTTCTATGGTTATCGAGCAATTACTACTCGGAGCATTTCTATATCTTGTTAGGAGCTCAATAGGAATACATTTTTCAGATCCAAGGGGCCGGAATGTTCCAAGTTTACAAACGCAGCGCCAAGTACCACCGATTACCTAAAGGTCTTATCATAATGAGAGTGCTCTTAGGAATGAGGACCTACCACACAAGCTTGCCCCAATTCTGGTTTACATGGATTCTTTCCAGAACAAAATTTTAACTTTCCCAGCGACAAATAGCTAGTAGCAATGTTCACTTTGTTGTTTCTGGTGCAGTTTGCTGGAAAAAAAAACATGATTTCAAATTTAGCTGTCATCTTTGAGGTGTTCTATATTTTATGGTATCTTGGAAGTCTCGACAATAAGGTCTCGATTTTCCTATTTTCCCGACAGTTCGAAAATGCCCTACCCGCTATAGTTTTGTTGATGAATTCATCGGATCCATCTTCACAATCCCAATTCCCATCCATTATAAAACTCTCGGCAACACATCGCACTCTTCCACACTGACAAGCGAATTGTGAAGTCGTGCATTCTTCATCGGAACCATCGTCACAATCCTCTTTACCATTTTGGAATTGAGATTTTGAGATACATTTTGTGCCATCTGCGCATTGGAATTGATTTTGAGCACATGCTGAAAACAATTGACTATTTGTAAAAACGGGCTGGATAAACACATAACTATTTACAGTATCGGTCAATACAAAAAACGTATTTTTCGGTTGATTTCGGCCATTTTGACCAGTTTCCTAGTTATTTTTTTTGGCTATTTGCCGATTTCTTTTTCTGTACAAAAACGGGCAAAAAAGAGCTTTACAGAAATCGGCAAATAGCTGAAAAGCTAGGAATTTTTGAGAAAAATCTGTGAATGCAGTTATCGACCTACTGTAAAACGTATTAGAAGGGCCGGCCCTTCAATTTTTCCATGGTACTTCCGAGGGGCCCTTCTATTAGAGGGGGTCTTTCTATTTTTCCGGCCAGTTTCCCCGAAACTTTTCATAGAAAAATTTGACAAATTTTCGTTCAAAATTCATTAGAATCTGTCAGTTTCATCAAAATTTAGCAAGTTTTTTTGATAAAGAAACTAGTGTTTCAACAAATTTCTATAAAATTGTGAAGTTCCGGAAATATTTTTCACTAAAAACGTACGGAAATTTTTCAATTCCACAACACATATTGGAGGGGTCCTTCTTTACGGACGCCCTTCTATTACAGGGGGTCCTTCTATTTTTCCAAACCCCTCTCGGAGAGCCCTTCTATTAGAGGGTCCCTTCTATTAAAGGGTTCCTTCTAATAATGGTTTTACGGTAGGTCTGTTTTGCACTCTTCAAAATTTTCAAAGTGATCGGAAACTTGACAGCCTAGCTCTAGGCTCCTGAAAATCCTCAAATGGCCGAAAATCAACTGAAAAGTATGCTTTGTATATCTTAATGACCGGTACTGTATTTATTTGCCCACAATGAATACAATTCACTTTCCATTAACAATTCCTCTATTACATCACCATCATCGTCTTCCCCGCATACCTGATAAAATCAGTAACTTACGTTCATCAGACTTATCAATACAATCAGCAACACCATTAAGATATTTTGCCGGCTCGATACACGCACTCCTATCCCGACAAACAAAATAATGAGCTGGACATCCCTCATCGAAGCCCGAATAACAGTCAATCTTTCTGTCGTTCAACTTATTTTTCGAAATGCATCTCGGTGATCCGAATTGACAGTCAAATTGCCATGGCAAACATACTGAAAAAAAAGAAGAAAGAGAATTAGGAGCGGTATGTTGCAAAAGAGTTGAAGGTTACATTTTGTTGTTTGGTGGATGATGTCAAATTTCAAGGAGTTTCTTGAAAAATGAGTGACATGACAGGGATGGGTAACTGAGAAGGTCGTTTATTTTAGTCGGTTACGAAAAAAGACATTAATCTAGTCTGAGTTATTGAGTCATTGTTATGAAACGGTATGTAGGTCAATCTATTAGGTTGTTCAATAAATAGTGGTCACTTTTCTTCAAGTAGTTTTTTCTTCAAGGAAAACAAGAATCATTGAGAAATTATTTCGCCATTGGAGTTCATAACTTCTTGCCAGCGCAACGGAAGTTGGGCAATTCCGTTCGCGTAGAACTCTGGCGACTTAGAGGCAAAACAGTGTTCCAAAAATTTCTTGACATCCTTCCGACAAGGACTTTCTCACCAGCAAGACGATTCTGGAGAAATCGGATATGGTAGTAATTAGCTAGTGCCAGGTCGGCGGTGTACGATGGGCAATGCAAAACTTCGATTCCGAAGATGGAGTTTGTAACGGCACTTCGAATATTTGTGTGGTTTTTCGTTGTCATGCAAAAATTTCAACACTGAGGCTCTCTAGAGGTGAGAGCGATGTGCATAAATACCACTTTCCATTTGAAAGCAGTAGAGCCAAAGTTGATGACATAGGAATCCGGAAGCAGCTTGCGGTATTTTACTTCAGCACTGTCTAACCGAATCGGAAAAATCTGATTTTTTCCTGAAGGTTGCCTTTTGAGACCGATTCCACCGTTTCCTTTGCAGAGCGCCATAGGTGCTTACTGGCATTGTTAACATACAGTACCCGTTCATCATCTCCAATGATTGTTTTGTTGACCCAGTCCGTCGTCGGTTTCCTGGAGAGGAGAGAAACGGACAGGTCTCATCGGACCTTTTCTAAAAATTGGTCAAATGTGGGGAACGATTTGATGGAGTCTCCGAGCTCTTCCCGTTTGAGGAACATGATCTGTTACGGTGCTATTAGGATGGTGGGCTGTCAAAGATAATGCACGCAAAGTAGCACAGAGCTTTTCCTCCAGTATCATTAAAATATTTTCATTTTTATTAAGGCTAGGCCTTTTGGGTATTGGTTTATGATCCAGATCATAATTTTCTTATACGAATCTTTTGAACCAAATTTCAATCGTGGTTCGAGAGATGAGGTCTACGTCTAACATTTTGCACTTTGCTCGCTAATGATCGTTGTTCGAGAGACCTTGGAGACATATGATCAAAGAAACACTTTTGAGTATGTGTCCGTTATCGAGAAAATCCTCGGCCGTTAGACAGTCAATTCGGAATTTTTAAATGTCTATTAAACATGCAATGTGTGACGTCTATAAATATAAAAACAGAATTGAAAAAAAACCCAAAATTGGATAAACAACGGTAGAGCGAAGTGAAAGTGACCACTATTTATTGAACAACCTCATAGAACTTTGGAATATAAGAGAGATCAAATTTCAAAATTTTCACGTTTGAGAGAAAATAATCGAAAAAGAGAAATATTAGGAGAATTTACACATTAAAAACAACGATTATTATGCTTGTCTGAGAAAAAAAAAAGGTTGAGACGCAGAGAAAAAGTGTCTGCGTCTTCACCGGTTGTGTGCTATTTAGGCTCTCCGCTTCGATATCGCTACCGTATTCAGACTGCAAAAAATACTCTCTAACCTTTTTTTTCTCAGACAAGCATAATACAAAAAAATTTATTTTTAAATGGGAATTTTATTATTTTCCCCAGAAAATGTAGCGTGAAAATTTATTTTCGTTAAATCTGGGTTTTCATGAAAAATCCACAATTTTTTGATTTATTTTTTAACGTTTTTTATTAAAATTTAAGAACAAAACACAGAATCGTTCTGCAGAACACATCCGTGAGAGAAAAATATGACGCGAAAGTTAAGTCGAAAGTTCCGCAGAACGATTCTGTGAAGAACACAGTTTTGAATAGAAAAAAAGAATTTCAATTTTTTCTGCGTGAGCACAGTATTTTTCAAAAAATTCGTTTTGAAACTCCAAACGTGAAAATTTTGAAATTTGATCCCTCTTATAAGTGAAAATTTATGAATCTTTTAAAGGGTTCTAGATATGGATTCAAGGTCGGATTATAATTAAAATATTGAAATTGTGAGGGGAATAATCTGGCCAGGGATAAGATAATTTTGCAAAAAAGTTGTTGGCTTTCTTGTAGAATCAGAGGCTTATGAAAAATCGAAGGGCCGTGAAAAATCAAAAAACATTCAAAGGACCAAAATGAACGAGAAGAGCCTGATTACCTATCCCAGACCAACTTATCCAACTGAATTTTATACTTCAGAATTAGGAAAACTATGGGCTTCTGATTTTTACCGGCTTCCAATTTTTTGGAGGATCTTCGTTGTTTTAGGGTCTGCGGTTTTTATTGGCCTCCGATTCCAGAAGAGCCTAATTTTTTTTGTTAAGACAAACAAAGTGACCGTTAGGAACCTTTCCTAAAATGAGGGTCTGAATTTCCGATAGATAGCTAAACAGACAAACAGTGGGACCACAAAAATTGCACTAGATTCACAAAGATTGATTTTTGAATATAGTATCGGATTTGGGGGGCGGGGACTCGTAAACCGACACGAACGGTGCCGGCGATATTTTCAGGTGCCAGTTTTTTTTAAATTCAACAATACTAAAGCCGACCAAACTCCGACAAACTTATGACAAGGTTCCAACCTAGTAGTATTTAGACTTTCAACTTCCGACCAAAATTTGATTATGGACTACATCCGTTTTTGGGCAACTTCCGACAAAAGAGCAAACGAGACATTTTGAAATTTTTGCAGCCTAGTCTTTCTTAGCCTTTCAAATGGAACAATTTGACTTTTCCACAAAAAAAATCCTCTTCCGGAATCACTAAATCCCTTTATGTTATGCCCTATACCCAATAATTTTCTAGTCAAGCTCGTCTGTCGTGAAATTTGCGTAAATAACTGTGACTTGCAATAAATGAAATACAGGCAATTATCTTGTACTCTTCCCTTTTTCTCCATCCCGTTTGTATGGGTTTCACGACCTTTTTCAAGGAACTGGTGTCACTTGAGTTGCATCTGTGTATTGGCGAGTGAAAGAGAAGGTCAAACCAATTAAATTTGAATATCTTAATAGGCAAGGTGTCGTTTCGGAACATACCCGAACTACAAATGATTATATATGAATTTCGCCTTTTACGGTCATTCCTGCGTTTTTTTAATCCAAGAAAAAAGATATATGTTACGCTCGAATGACACAATCACAGGGAGAAAAGAAGGAGGAGGCTCTCTAGAGGAAATGAATACGTCTAATTACCAAATACGGTCTAATTGCAGTGTGTCTGTATAGGTATGTGGTTGGTGCGGAAGGTGCGGGTACTCATAAAAAAACGATACAATTGAATGGAGAGTGCATGAAGTAAAAGAAGAAAAAAAAGAGTGAAGTGGTTACTCTGAGAAGGTATCGGGGTAATGGTGTTATTATTTTTCTCTCTTTCTAAACGAAAGAAACTAGGACATCCTGAATTTCAAAAATCGCACTGACCTAGACTTTTTTTTGTAGAAAATCCTGACAGTGTAAGAGTCTGAACAGTTCTCTGGGAGGGAAGTTCTTAAAAGCTTCCTTGGCACTAATTTTGAAAAATCAAGTTTCGAAAAAGTTGAAAAGTAAACGCCAGATGTTTACAATATAGATCTAGTTTCCATGGAATAACTGAAAGTAGAATAGCTTTCACTTTTGGGAAAAGAATACCTATAGTTAGAAGGATTCAAATGGATGGTAAGAAAAAACCCCAAAGATTTTCGAAATTTGGAGATTTGAAGAAAAACAGTGTCAACCAATTTTAGATTCACCTTAAAACCTTTAATTTAAGGGACCCAACACTGTCAACTTTGAGCCTATATACCTCGGTTCCTGCGAAAGATATCAAAAAGTGGCAGACTAGGACAATTTTTAGCATATTATCAAAAATATTTTCTCAGTTGACCAATTTTTGAAATCTTTGGCTGAAACCGAATATATAGGCTCAAAGTTGGAAGTGAGGTTTCACGATGAACACAAATTCGTTCGGAAACTTGATAGTGTAAGCCTAACTTTTTTAATTCAGAAAACAACAGCTGTTAAAGTTTCAGAAAAAATGCTTCAAAGACTTCAGATTCACCCATTTTTCTGTTCCAAAAGAGAGCTTGGTATGACCCATAGAATTTCATTTTTTAGGAATTTTATAGCCATGCATTCCAGGTTTTAATTGAAAAAAATTTAAAAACTCACCTTCATCACTTCCATCATAGCAATCATCCACACCATCTTGCCATTTCTTCATAGAAATACACGATCTATCAATTTTACATTGAAATTCCTGTCGAGCAACACAAATTTGTGTAGTAGTAGAGTTCGAACAATATATGGAAGGATAGAATATGGTGATTGGTATGAAGAGTTTCAAAAATAACATTGTTCCAGCCTGCATTGTTATGCGGGTGTTGTGAAAAAAATTAATCTCATCTATCTCTCGAAGTAGTATATAGTTATGCCGGTCTGTGTGAAGGCTGGCAGCAAGTCCGCAAAAGACAACCAGTCTCCCCCGGTAGGGGGGCGGAGTTCCCCGGTACGGAAAAGAAAAAGAAGAAGAAGAAGAAAGGGAACAGAGAAGGGCACTGTGCGCGGAAGGAGAAGAAAATGATGAAGACGTGAAGAAGGTGAAGGAGGGAATTGGTTTAGGTATGTAGTATATCCCATACGTCTTCCGTAAAATGACGAAGAACACCACTCTTCAATCATTATGTTGTTCTTGTTAGGTTATTCTTTTGTTTTGTTCACCAATTATTATGAAAAATGAATATTCGGTGATGCATTAATCATATTCAGCAGAGTTGGGTTTGAATTTACAAAACCTGTAATAAAAGGGCTCCTTCACTTTTAACTTTGAGCCAATTTATTTTGGTTCCTGTCAAAGATAAAAAAAAAATGTTAACTGACAAATTGTTTATCATAATATCATAAACAGTTCATCAATTCGCACATTTTTCTATCGTTGACAGAAACCGAGAAAAAGTAATTCAAACTTGACAGTATGGGGGTCCTTATATTACAGGTTTTGTGGCACCGTACAGAGTTTGGTGACTGTAAATATAGTTCTTGGTAAGCTACGCAGCTTTAAATTAATCTGACTGAAATAATCTAACTATTCCTTTAGAAACTCTTAATAAAAGTCACACTCATGTGTTAAGCAGCTTGGAATCTTTGTCTGGCCACTGTAAAATTATTTTTTGAAGTATATGAGCAAAAACTAATGCCTCATTTTCAAGGGTTAAGTTTCTATGTTAGCTGACGTTTGACTTATTTACACTTGGGTAATATTTTTTTAATGCGTTTTGAAGCGAAATCCGTATTACAGCATCAATTTTATTTATCATCTGCTTATTTGAAAAGTTTTGTAAAATGTTTCTTTTTTGCATCAAGTTCGAGCCTCTCATCCCAATCTCTTCTTCCGCTTGAGGGATTTCTCATTTCAAACTCTTCAATGTCTGAACAAGAAAAGCACCCATCTCCGTCCGTCGTCTCGTTGTAATTGTAATCCAAACCCTTTTTGACGGTATACCCGTATGTAACCATATATCCCCCTCCCTTTTTGCACAGTGCTATTGTTTTGCCGAGTGTGCATATAATACCACACATGTGTTCCACTTTTCTTGTTGGAGGTGCGTTTTTTCTAGGTTCCTTTCTGCATAAATAAATAATTAGAATAAAAAAAGAGGGAGGAGGAAGAACATAAATTAGCATTACCTTCTTTTCATTGGAAAAACCATAAAACTTAAGTGATTCAAACGTATTCTTCTTCTTCCGTTCTCGGACATACACACAATTTCATTATACTTCTTCTTCCTCAGAAACTTCTGAATGTCTCGGGATGATGGGAAGGTCACATATATAGCAAATGCATTTATTAAAGGTAGATCCGCAAAATGTAATAATACAAAAAATGCAAGAGCAAAATTCACCAGGTCAAAAAAGGGGAGAAGGAAATCTTCGGGAGGACAAGAAAACGATAAGCGAAAGAATTGAATACACCGAGAAATCTAGATTCTACACAACGGAAGCATTTTTAGATCTGTATTTTTTTCTGTCGAAGAATTTTTGATGATGGATGAGCTGGGAGGTTGCAAACAAGTGTGTGAAAAAATGAAATTGTGTGGTTGAAGAGGTCCCGTACGGAAAATGACTAAGTCATGTATTGGTAAACGGAATAATAATGGATTTCTGGATAATGTAGATAGCATTACCTAGAAATGGAGAAACAGAATATACCCAGAGAGGATTCCTAAGGAATGTGTGAAAACAAGATAAGAGATAAGCAAGCAAAACAGGAGAATATTTGAGAAAAAAAAACAAAAGAAGAGATAAAACGATGGGAGAATGTGTCTAATTTATGGTGTCACTGTACTGTTGACGATTACCGCCCATGTTGGAAACTCGAGAAGTGGAAGAGTTAAGTATGCAATACTGTTCATGTACATGACTGTCAGAATCAGAAGTTCAATTGAGATGATGCCACCAACGAACGCCTGAATTTTAGAATTTAGGATTTTCAATGAGATCCGACTTCAACATTTGACCTACCATATCTGATACTTTGACCATTCCACTTCCGAAGACAATCGCATTTGGGGGAGTTCCAACAGGGAAGATGAAGGCAAATGAAGAAGCCAACGTTGTCGGAAGCATTAAAGTGAATGGATGATGTCCTGCTCTCTGAGCAAGTGTAGCTACGATTGGAACAAAAATGGAAGCAGTCACAGTATTGGAGCAGATATTGGTAATGACCATAGCGATGAGCATAGTCAAAAGTTGAAGAATCCATAATGGAAGATGTTCGATTGAAGAAAGACTGGTGCCAATCAAAAGAGACAATCCCGATTCCTTAACTCCAGCAGCCAAAGCGAATCCTCCTCCCAAAAGAAGGACGACACTCCATGGAAATGTTTCCTGCATTGTTTTCCAATCCATCAGACATCCTCTTTTCTTTAAATCTTCCTTTTTGATGTAACTTGCGATGTCGGGCTTCTCCGATGGAAGAACGAAGAGTAAGAAGGAGACAATCATTGCAGACGTGGCATCAGTATAGGCTCCTTTTTTGAAGAATACACTGAATCCAGGAACGATTCCAGGGTTACGGAAGATCCAAAGGGAGAGGAGGATACAGAAACAGACGAAGACCGACTTCTCAGCATAGGTCATTCTTGGCAGTTCCCGATATCTGGTATTCAGCATTTCGGTGACAGCTTCGTCTTTCTCTGGGGCATCTCTGAAGAAGTTCAAATTGTTAAGAAGTTCAAATTGTTAAGAAGTTCAAATTGTTAAAATTCCTATAGGAATTTGTTAAATTACCTCAAGAAGAACCAAACCAGTGTTGCCCATGCCACTCCGAGACACAGAAGCATCAAAGGATAGGCGAAGAAAATCCAGGTGACGTAGTTCAGAGATCCATCGACTTTCGGGAAAAGCCTGGAATTCAAGGTATTTGGATTTTTAATATCGAATTGGAAGCTTACGCATTGAGTTGTCCCAACATGACCAGATTACTTGGTGTTCCAGTAGCGGTTCCTGTTCCTCCAATATTCGCAGCGAAGCAGATGGAAAGAACGAGTCCTGTTGCCATTTTCTTGCATCCTTGACGTCCGCGTTCTCTGAAAAAATAGGGGAAAATTCTTACTTTTCTTTTCATTGTCTGCAGTTCATCTTCCAATATCACAAAGCGATTTCTAAAAGTCAAGCCCCTCTGTTTTCTGTTACCTCGATTTATCATCATAAATCTGAGAGAGCAGCCAGCTCATACACCAGTTTTTGATGTGAGATCAGTGATAAAACTCTTTAGTGATTGAGCTATATCTGTTTCATCGGTGGGAAAAATACATAGTAAGACGCACAAAGCACAGAAAAAAATGAAAGTGTTCGTTGCACCTTCTCTGTGCAAATAAATAAAGTTTATTCTTTTTTTAACATCAGATAGAAAATTTTTGTTTCCCGTTCTTTGTCTTTTGATTCCTTTACTACTTACCCATTTGTTGGATGGTGTTGGAAGGAGGAAATCAACTGTTGTACTACACTTTGCCCAATTGGAACCATCATTGCAGTGGTGGCAGTGTTCGAGATAAAACTGCTAAGCAATGCAGTGACTGTCATAAAACCAAGCATGATCCTGCAATCGAAAGTTTATTTTTGATGTGGGTGAAAAAAAGAAGTTAATGTGTTTGCGAAACGAATGATCCTTTAATCAAACTAACCATTTCGGCTCGCTTCCTACTAATCGTAAAACTGAAAGGGCGACACGTTCATGTAGATCACACTTCTCAACAGCTGCAGCCATAATTAGACCTCCGATGAACAGGAAGTTTGTGTCATTCATATATTCCTTAGCTGTAGTGTTGGCATCAAGTACTCCAACCAAAGGGAATAGAACCACGGGTAACATTGCAGTTACAGCCAAAGGCATCACTTCGGACATCCAGTAAATTGCAATGATGCACACGCAATAAGCACATCTCCATTCCTGAAAAAAAGATCAGTTTGAAAAAGAACAAACTACAAAAAGGTTTGTTTTGTTCTCACCCCCTCTAATTTATCAAGAAGTGTAAATACAGTTCAGTTCAGTTTATGTCAATATGTGTGTATCTTCAAAACAAAGAGAGAAGAATTCCGGAAGAATGCAGGTGGAAGAAAAAGAACTTTTCGTTGTTCTACGTCATGAAAAAAGTGACGTTTCTCAATTTTATGATGCCAGGCGCTATAATGAGAAGCACACAACAGGTCAGTCAAGTGATAGGTTGAAGAGAAGAGGAACAGGAAATTTACTTCCTTCAATTTAGATTTGATGGCTCTGTTTCTAGATTTTGCAAGATTTTTCGCGTTCTATGGTTTTTGAAACAATTGGAATTTTAAATTTAGGTTTAAATTCTCTACTGTCTCAATTGTTCAAAGTGGTGTACGGTGAAAGTTTTTATTTCATAAAATGTTTTGAAAGTTATCTACTGGCTAATATTTTTTCCAAAGAAATTTTTTATTCAAATACCCCGAAAAAAACGCTCTTGAAAATTAAAAAAGGCGGCGAATAGGGACGAGGTTTTGAATTCCCGAGCAATTAGAAACCTAGGCCACTGCGGTGGGACTCCTTCTTAAAGATGTCCGACAGTGGTTTTTCAGGTTTTTTACGTGGCGGAGGCAAGAAAATCCGGGAAAAATTCCACGGAAAAAAGGCGTCCGCCGCTGTGGCCTAAGTTTCTCACTGCGATGGAATTCAAATACTCGTCCCTATTCATCAGCTTTTTTAAGCAAAATTTTCCCTTTCCACGGCGTTTTTCAGGGATTCAGGTCTTCTTTGAATTTTTGTGCGATAACACGAAAAATATAATTTTTTGAAAGTTTTAATGCAATAAAAAGTTTGGTGGGAGTCCAACTTTAAAAAACTTCTTTAAATTTTGGTAACATTTTCCATTGTCTCAGTTGTTTTGAAAATTTAAATTCAAACTTCTAGGTTCTTGAAATTCTGTAATAAGCTCATTTTATTTTCCAGCTGGTGACCCATTCTTTTCTTTACTTAACTATACGAATTTCAAAATTCTCAACCCATCTGGCAAATCGTTCCATCGTCTTATTTGCAGAGAGAACCCAACAACTCTTCCCCCTCCCAACAAATTTGCTCTCTCTCTCTTCCAGAATCATCCATCCCGTTCCACTCTTTAGACACCTTCTGTTTTGATATATGCACAACGACAGGAGAAGGGGACACTGGGACACCAAAAAAACCAAGCACAGAAAACGAATGAGCGGGCGAGGGATCGAAAGCTTTTCGTGTGTCTGTGTGACGTAGCGAGAACAGAAGAGAGCAAGTGTGGAGGAAGGAAATTGTCATGCGAGGAATTGAGAAGGCGTCCTCTCTCTCTCTCCCGAATTCTCTCTCTCTCTATTTCTCCATGCTTTACTTACTCTTTATTTTTCCTAATAGTTTTTTTTTACTTTTTTAAAGGGCTCCATTCTTCTTCTTCTTGGAACCGACCCTTTCCCTCTAAACTCACCGGTCCTTCCCACCACAGCATTTGTCCAAATAATAATGGCGTCAGAACGAGAACCAATCCATTCTTCATTCGACGCAACAGACATAGCAGTCGCTCCTTGTTGGACACCTAAAAAAAACAGAAGATAAAGTACCGAACAAAGAAGTTGAGTAATTCGGGTACCTCTCTGGAGACAAAATGCTGAACGAAATTGGTGCTCGAAGAGCTTTCAAGCATCCGTTGACGGCTCTCCGAGTTCTCCGGCCATCCGGACAAATGGAGGGAGAGAGACATTGTACCGTAGTGCTGGTCCAGTATTACAGATAGGATATGGATAACTGGAGTAACTGAAAAAAACGATAGTGGGGGAAAAAAGAAAAGAGAGGCGAAAAGAGATGGGAGAAACGAGCGGGAGGAAAATTATGCATTCTAAGAAAACGAAAGAGGGTCGAGTGCACCGAAAAAAAGACACTTTTCGGGTGATAATTGAAATGTGCAAGAGTTCGAAAACGAATGAGCTTGAAGAGTCATTAGAACTAACCCATTAAATAAGTTACCCTTTTAATCCTGATTCAAAAAATGTAGACTTGCCGAACAATTGCCCTTTGGATCGGAATTTCAAAAAGAATCAAAATCTCAAAATTGTGAGAAAAAAGTGAAAGATAGAAAGATGAAACTTTTGAAAATCGGGTGAGAGAGAGCATCGAACAGCAGGACCCCCCACCCTCCGAAATCACTTTACACTCTGGAAAAAGAAGAAGAGAAGATGAAAAAAAGATTCAAAGCTCGAAAACGTCTGAAACGTCCTCGCCGCAATGTTTCTATTCTTCTATCTTCTCCCGACACTCCGTGTGTTGGTAAAATAAAAAAGGGGCGGAGGAACCAAACTGAGAAGCCGATGGCGCCAAATGAGCAAATGAAAGTGGGCTCTGCGTGTTGCTCTGGGAGAAGGGAAAGAAAAGGAAAAGAAGAAGAAGAATGAGGAGGAGGAAAAAGTAGTAGTAACGGAAGAAGAAGAGAAGGACTAGGGAGGAGCAAATGCACGACATAGACGGCTACTGAAGAAGAAAAGAGGAAGAAGTGGTCAAAAGGAAGAAGAACAGAAAACGAGGCAGGATGGAGGTGATTAGAATTTTCTAGGTTGTTGATAGTCTTTGGACTTTTTCTACCAACTCAAAACACAACTAAGCTTTCGTCTGTCCAGTTCAACCCTCGGACAAGAAACAATACCTGAGAAATGACGTATTTCGTTCTTGTACCAAACGGATAGAATGTTTCTCTCTAGATCCAAGCAACCACCCCGTTCGATAAAACGTCTTTCTAGAAAACATTTTCGAAAATTGCTTTTTTTTTTTCCCAACATGATGCAAAAGGGAAAGTACAACTGGGTACGGTAGACATGAGAAAGTTGGAATCGAAAACAAAATTCTTTGAAGGTTTGAAGTCACTGGCTAGAGGCGGCGCTATGACAACAAATCTTGGCACTGCGCCAAGTATTTGTTATTTTTATGTGTACCTCTCTCCATGACTTTTTTCTTGATAATGAAAAGAGAATAATCTCACGCCTCCAAGTTTCTAGCAAGATGGATTTCGGGGAAAAGAATTATGCTTTCCCCGTGGTCTTATCTCTCCGCCAGATTTTATCAGGTCTAGACTGGGGATGAGGAAATGAAAAGGTTTTTGAATATGCTGTTGAAAAAGCAATAAGCTCAAAATGGACCTCAAACTACTTTCGAACCTGTGGATCTCGGATACAACTCAAAGCTCCCAGAAGTTTGAAAGTACCGTAAAACCAGAAATAGAAGCTCCCTTGGCGTTGGACTTAGAGTCAATTTATCTCGATTCCTGTGAGAGATATAAAAAAGTTGTCAACGGATAAATTGCTTATCATAATATCACCAACCTTTTATCAGTTGACATATTTTTGATAGCTTTCACATTAATCGAGATGACTGAGCTCAAACTTGACAATGTGAGCACCCTTCTATTACAGGTTATACGGTAAGAGCTTTTGGGTTACAGAAATATGAATATGAATACATGAGAAGAAGAAGAAAACGTAAAAAAAGGACAAAAGGACACCGTCTTCATAATACAGTTTCTCATCTATAAACTCCCCCCTCCCTCACTATTTGCATGACATTTATTGGGAAAAAAATGAGAAATGACGACACAAGTACAAGTATCAAAGAGGAACACATCTTGAATTGAAATATATTTCTTTGACATCTGGAGTTATTCGAATGACTCGAGTTTCCGGCTCCGGGGATGTTGTTTTTACACCTGACTCTCTTGTGCGTATATTCTCGTTGCTCGGAATGGGCGTGTCGTTATTTTTTTTCACGGGAATGTGATGAGAAAAAGAAAGAAGGAGAAGGAGGAGGAAAGAAAGAGACTAGACACACTGGTTGATGACTTGCAAAAAATGTTTGACCTGTTGGATTAGAAAAAAAAAGGAGCCCTTTTTTCCAGAACATGACGTAAACCGAAACTCGATCCGGAAAGTTGTAATGTTTTTCTTGCTCCTCACGTGGCAGGAAAAAAAGCAAAGTGCTCAGTCTCTTGGTCGGCGATTTGTGTGGCGTCATGAGGTCAACATTTCAAGAACAGCCGAATGTTCAGGAATTGAGGTCCTTCTTGAACTCTGGGAGAAATTTTTCGAACAGAAAATTTATTATTTTTAATCTGGGGAAAGAATAAACAGAAGTTGCATTGGGTTTTCATAGTTGCATTGGGAGATTTTTGTCAGAATCACTAAAAATGCAAATAACGATACGTTCCTGAAATTTTTATCAGAAGCTTCTTTCTAATTCTGAACTGGCAATTGGCGGCTGAACGGCGGATGAGTAGAAACGGGTGTGGGGATGTGTCGGCTAACGGTGAAAAAGTTATGCAAACTTTCAGGTTGATAAAATATTCTAAAACTTGTCAGTTCAGAAAATGGTTAGAAAATTAGGATGAAGTATCTGAAAAGAACGTAAACGCCTCCTTGACTGGCTTAGGCTTATTTACAGATTATCTATACTTCAGTATATTTTAATGCTTTTAGTGGTACTTATTGAATCCTGTTTTCAACTCTGTTGAAAATTTTACAAAAAAAGAATCAACCGGAATTTTTAGCGAATTTCATAGAACGTTGATTTCATTTCTGCTAAGAATAATTTCAGAAATAGCAAATTAGTTTCCAATCAGGGCTGGGCGTAAAATATTTTTAACGGATTCCGTAAAACGTAAAATTTACGAATTTAAAAATCCGTAAAATTCTGTATTATCCGTAAAAACCGTAAAATTTGCAAAAAAGCTGTTTTTGGCAAGAAAAACCTATTTTTAGGCTCAATTCGGCGCTATTTCAAGTTTCTTGCAAACTTACAATTCAATAATTCAAAAGTTATGAATTTTCACACTTTTAACAACAAAAATCTCAAAACTACCAAAAAATTTTGCCGATTTTTCGGTACTAAAAAAAGTTATTGATTGCCAGAAACAGTCATTTTGCAAATTTTACGGTTTTACGGATACAATTTTACGGAGACAGAGAGCCCTGTTTCCAATGGACTAGAATGAATTTAAGTACAGAGTCACTTTTTTTTTCTAACAATCACACATTCTTGGAATTCAAAATTCTTAAATATCTAAAATATCATTTCGGAAGTCATGCTTCCTTTTCTATTCTCAAATGACAAAAGAAACTGAAACAATTCGTGAGAGGGGCCTTCTATGAATAATCGTTTTATAAGCTCCCAAGTGATCCTTTTCCTTCTTCTACAAAGGGAAAAAACGGAAACGAGAGTGTCGCTTAGACACTTTCCGGCTTTTCGCGCAACGACTTCTGGTATGAGTCATCAAGGAAAATCGTAAGCATGTCTTCTGAAAATAGCCAAACTTTTTATATACTGACCCAAGAACCAGAATTCCACCTACGGATCTTATGTACCGAGAACTTTACATTAATTTGTATTTTTGCAGTGGTTTGATTTCTGAAACCTTAATCTGAAAACAGTTAAATCAAGAATTCCTTTTGGCACTCTGTTTTCAGTCACGCACTCGCTTATTCATGATGTTTTTCCACACAGATTTCGGATGATTAGCAGTTAGTTCTCGGTGTAAATAAATGTCTTGTTCTAGAGATAAAAGTCAGTCTCGTATTCTGTGCAAATTGAAGCCTTGGAAAACAAAAAAAATATGTAAAGAAGCGTCTGTGGAGCACCTGATCGTTGGTTAGAAATCATTGGAGAGAAAATAAAACTGTTCCAAAGACAAACGGAAAGAAAAAGATACTTCCTGGATATGAGTGGCGTCCAAAGAAGACATCCATTATGCTATTCATATATAATTTATGAAAGAAAAAATGCCAGCGAAATTTTTTAGTTCTGAAATCAACCGATTGTGATATGCGTTCGAAAAAAGTATTCTTTTTTGAAGTGCATCAGTCTCTTTTTCAAAAAATGTCTTCTCAAAGTTGATTTATGTTCATCGCTCCCTAGTGGATGGAGCATTTCTCATTTCAAAAATTTTTCTGATATCATCATAAATTTGAAAAAAATACGTGGCTTGTGTTTTGGATTGAAAACCACTCAACATACAAATATAAGTATTCTTTCCCTACCGTAATCCTTTTAATTTTTGAATGTTGTTCGCTACAGTAACTCAGGTAATTTTGGGCGAATTGCCCACGGTTTAGGCGAATCGCCCAACGAATAGGCCGCCTTGCCCCCACGATAGGGGCAAGGGCGCCCATTTCGTGGGCAATTCGCCCATTTTCAACGCGTTTTTGCGGGCTCGGCTTAGCATTGCACCTACGCTCCTTGTTCCAGTTATGCTATTTCAGTTGAAAACACTAAAACAGTTAGCTTATAATCGTTTATTAATCAAGAAATGTTATATTTGCAACAAAAATACACAAAAAATGACAAAAAAAATTAGAGATGGTGTGTTTCGCCTTCTGGCTCGGCCTCAACCCATAACTGTAGAATTCTGCACCATTGAATACCGTTCTCTCTCTTCTGTTTTGAATAGGCGCGCGGTGTGATCCATGATTTCCAGTGTCGCCCATCTTGACTTGCCTCGAAGAACTGTCGCCTTCTTTGTCCGATTGCTCACTTCGTAGCGATCTGTAATAAAAAATTAGTCATGAACACAAATTTCGAACAATCTCAATAGTTGCTAAAAACGGAACTGATGGAAATGACAGAACTTCCAGACATTTTTCTATTGTAAAGTCAAAGCGACTGTCGCAAATTCATTGGTATCAAATGTTATAAACTTTTCCAAGTATGTCATTTTTATGATATTGAACTCCGAACATATTGTTTTTTATCTTACCTGAGATCGACTTGAATCACCGATTTCCGCTACTTTCTCGTGCGGTTTGGGGGATAGCAACAGAGGGCGCTCGACTGGCAAGACATTATTTTTGGAATCTGAAAAATATAGGTTTAAATACACGAAAACTGTCAAAAAATCACCAACCTCGCTAGAGTCCCACGAAGAGAGATAATCCAGTGCATATTCATCAGAATCTGCCCAACCTGAAACTCAACATTATCTGTGCTTTTTGACCGAGAAAGGGATTGGGAAGTTTTAAATAATAATCGAATTATATACGCATAAATATTACATTTTGAGAAGAAATCGAAACAGAAATCAAGAAAACAACAGGAAAACGTAAAAAGGTTGAAAATATCGTGGAAAATGGAGCCGCTAAACAAGGCGCACCCCCGTAATTTCGGAGTGTCGTTGCCGGTAAAATGCGAGGGAAGTTCAAATCTGTGTCCTTAAAGCACACGATCTTCTCCATTCTGTATAAACTTGATGGGTATAATAAAAATTCGAAAATTTCTATAATTCCTTTCAAAAAAAATCAATATCAGTTCAAACTATTTTGCTACCGTAGACACTCTAATCGCACGCCACCCGAATCGTCAAATTTGAGACCATGTATCTCATTTTCTGTGAGAGATGTCAAAAAGTGGTTAACTAATAAAATGTTGCTGATATCATGATAAACATTTTGTTAGTTGACAACTTTCTGATATCTTTCAAAAGAAGTGAGATACATGCTCAAAGTGGACGGTCAGGGTGGCGTTCTATTAGAGTGTTTACGGTATTATCAGTTTATATTATGTGCTACACATCCTGTTTTGTCTTTTTCTCAAACAGTCTCAACATCAAAAAGACAGTAGTCCTCACAAAAATCACATGTTAGCTTTCCGATAGTAACAGTTTTGATTTTATGGGAATATATTTCATCTTTGATTAGAACTTTTCTAACTTCAGTGACTGAAGTTCAGTCCCTGGCAGACTTCAAGAAATTTTTGACTTCAAGAAATGTTTGACTTCAAGAAATTTTAACCAGGAAAATGTATTTCATATTGTGACGAACTTTTTTCCAAAGTTACAATTAGGGGCTCTTCCATTACAGGTTTTACAGAAGTTTGTTTTAATCGGTTCGGTTTTAAGTGACGGAAACCATGGGCAAGGCTTGGGCGAGGGCTCGCCCAACCGTCGCCCCCTTTCTCTTGATTTTTTTTTGCGCAGCTATTCATCAAGACTGATGCCCCCTCCATGCCACACCCATGCCCAGCTGGGAAATTTGCCCAAACCAGTGGACGGGAGCGCCAAATCCTTGCCCAGCTGGGCAATTCGCCCAAATCAATAGGCGTGAGCGCCCAACCCTTGCCCAAAATCCCCTGAGAATCCTTTCTATTTCCGATTTTCCCCCTACCGTAACCCTTTTCATTTTCGATTTTTTTTCAATACAGTTATCCTTCCCATTTTTGAATATGATATTTCCCGTTACAGTAACCTTTTTCATTTTCAAATATTTTCCCCTACAGTAATCCTTCCAATTTTCGAAAAAAAAATTATTTGATTATTAAGAATTCAAAAATCACAAAACTGAAAATCAGAGAGTTTTACTAATGAAGACAAGAATAAATGCAAACAGAAACAAAACTATTTTATAAACGAAAAAGAAAAAAGTAACGATTTAAACCGGTAAAAATGTGATTCCTTTCGCCGCCATTCTATTGGAATCTGCTGTGGGCATCGTTTTGGATGTATCCGTAGACGCTTTGGGTGCTTCAGGTCTTGGAGCTTCCTTATTGCTTTCATTTCCATATTCTTCATATTCTGGAACAAACATCCTTCGTGTTTCTCTTTTTCTCCATCCTTCATAAGTGTTATCCATTGAATAAGCATGAAGACCAGATGACATGAACGAAACGTGATTCGGAGGTTTCTCTTCCTTCTGGAATTTTTTTTGGACTTAAAATAATTCAAAAGTTAAGACTCACATCAAACTCGGATCTCCAAATTGTTTTGTATTTACATTCCTTAGCTGCACAGAATCTATTGAACATAGTGATAAGAAGACTCTGAAATTTCAAACCAACATTTTCTCTTATTATCTTTTTCAGATACTACCAAGTATTGAACTTCAATCTCTACTTCGTCCTGATTTTTGGCTGGTTTTTGTTCCAAAGAACGATTCTGAAACTAAGTTTTGCCTTATTCTTCACAATCTATATCTAACCAAATTTCTGTGGAGGCTATGAGCAATGACACAAAATAGATTGAACGGTGGTGGCGCAGCCATCTCCCAGGATACAAATTCTGCGTACATTGCTGCTCGTGTATATTTGAATTCCATTTCTTCGTTATCAAGCACCTCGTCAGCTTTCTTGACAAGCAGTGACGTCATCAAATTGAGTACCGTGATGATAATAATTCCGTGATAGAGAGCTCCAAGAATTTCCAGAGTTGCCGAATTGAGTTGATGAGAAACTGGGTCCATGTTGGATCCCGTGTTTCCAACGACTGTGACGTATGTTGAAGGTCCCAGGTATCCAAAAATCGACCAGAACAGATTCTTTGACGATGTCCCAATTCTGAAAACATGATTGAGAGATTTAAAACTAAATTGATTTGCAAACTAACGAATCATAAGACTGCGTTGTTATGGCTTCTGGAGTGTTCTCTTTGTGAATCGATTTTCGACTCAAATATGGACTGACGAGTATATTGAGACCAACAGAAAATGAGATAATAATAGTGGCCATGATCAGAAGGTATGTGTACGTTTTTCCGACACATTTTCCAATTGATATCTTAAATTAAGAATGAATTTAGGTTTTGGAAATTCAATAGGGTTTCGGATACCACAGATCCTCCGATTCCCTTGATTGTTTGAATGTAGTAGAAGCATTTAGAAACTCCAAGAACACAAGAAATCGAAAGGAATATCTCATGAATTAATTTAAATTCTCCCGATGGCTGAAATGTGATATGAAACTCGTAAAAATGTATATGTTTCCTTTAATAGAAGACCACCCAAACCTTCAACTTTGAGCTCATTTATCTCGGCTCCTATAGGAGATATCAAAAAGTGGTCAACTGATAAAATATTGATGATATTATGATAAATTGTTTATCAGTTGACAAATTTTTGATATCTTTCACAGCAACCAAGATAATTGAGCTCAAATTGACGATTTTGGATAGGCTTCTATTAGAGGAAATACGGTATGTTAACATACCCAATGCATTCTATCTATTTCGGATGGATCGAAAAGTTCTCTTTCGGAAAGTGTGCCAATGAAGAAGACGAACGAGATTAAAAATGAGGAAATCAGAACAACATCAAACCTTTAAAACTATGTTCAAAACAAAATCCTTAATAAAAATCCTACCATCTCCACCAGAAAGCGAAAAAAGCCGCACTTCCAACCCGATAAAACAGTAGTCCTCGTTCCAAGAATAATCCAAGCATGTAGGCGTAAATGAGGTATTCAATGGTTTGAGTGACTACAATGCCTGAAACACAGTGATTAACACAATTTTCAAAAATTGACTATACCATCAAAACCGTCTATATAAAAGGGAATTGTTACACGAGCAATTGCCAGAATCAGGAAAATGATATAGGTGGTGATGTGAGCAATAAATCGAGCAAGTGGAACAGCCATCGTAGTTCCTTTTTCAAGGGATATCATGTGCATCATGATTATAACTGGCATAAAAATAGTTGCACGAAGTGAACGCCACAAGTCTCGTTTCGGCTTGTTACCAAAGTTGAGCCAATCTGAAATTAAGTGTCAACTAGATCTTCTCGAAGATTCGGTACCTGCTCGAAACACTGATTTGAACGCTGTCTGTGAATTGGTTGAGCATGTGAATTGTCTCATTTCAGAATCCATTGCCATCTGAAGGCGAGGTGAAGAAATATCAGACATTCGCTTGTCACAGTAGCTCTTCTGAAATAGAAGAAGAATACATGTATTCAGGAATCTAGTCACTAACATTTGCAACCAGAAGATTGAACTCTTCTGATCTCCATGCTTGGTCTGAAACTCGTGTCAGAAAACGTTGAACATTTGCTTCTAGATGACGATAGATTTCCACGTGTTCCAAACAATCATCTTTAATCAGGTGTTGTAGATCATGAGCAATCGAGCATGCTGAAGCAAAGACATCACTTGTGGCTAACCAGAGATACGATTCAGAGGAAATTGCACGCATGACGTCGACTAGAAGAGCAGGAGATCGGTTTGTCACTGTTTGGCGTTTGCATAGCCGACATTCACCTGTCAGAATCAGTACTTTTTTAGATGAGATCCTTTAAAACGAACATGTAAGAAAGTGTGGAATCTGAATGGTGTGACCTCGAAGCAACAGGCATTGAACGATACTAAAATTATTCAGAATACAAGCCAGCATCAATGGTGTCATGTGAGGAGGAAAGTGAGCAGAGTTTGCACAACCTGAATTTGAACTTTCTCGTTATTAATAAAAAATGAAGATTTTGTACCACTACGCTCCAAAAATGGACAATCTATGAATAGAGCAAGTACAAACTCAACAAGAGGACGACTGCCAGTTGCAACAGAGAGAAGAAGAGCTTCCTAATTTCCAATGTAAAGAAAAGCTAAAATTGTTGTCTAACTAACTTTCAACGATTCTTCGGATGATGTATTCAGAAGAAGACTCTGAATAGCTTGAAGTCTTCCATCCTCACTACCCAAAGGTAGAAGATAGCTCAAAAATGACCGTACTTCTGAGTAGAACTTGTTTTTAACAGCTTTGTAGAAATATGATATTGCGTCTAATAGCTAAAAAAGATTTCTACTTTTTCAGCTTTTGATATTTCACAAACCAATGGGTCTTCATCATTCCATTCCTGATGACCGTCAAACCCTTCTTCTCGTTCCCCATCTATTGTCCTGTACTTGGATAGGTTCTCTTTTACGACACTGAAAACGGTTACTGTATCTGTGCATATATCTCCTATCTCACAGCAATCTAGATTTCGGCATCGAACTTGATCCTTATGAACTACTAAAGTTCAGAAAACAGTTGTCAGTGAGCCTCGTTGTCTATGCCTCCTACATCCACGTTGGCATCGTTTTCAAACGCGCGCGCAAATTAGGACAACACGGGCATTTAGTGAAGAGACGCAGACAAATCGTGTTTCGCGCCAACGAGAGAATCAGGTCGCAGACATGCTTGCGCTCTTCACGATATGATGAAATGTTTGAACTGGACTTTATTCATCGCATCTGGGTTGTATTCTGAAATTCTTCTGTTTTTCGAATTTTTCGAACACTGATTAAGGTCTGTTTTTGCAGAAAAAATGCTTCGCAAGGGTGTCGCTTTCGTTGGACAAGCTGTTCGCCAAACTTTGTAAGTGAAACCTTCAAATTTGGAGATTACGAATAATATGTTGTTCAGGAAAGCTCAAAACCAATTGCAAGTGCAAAGATTCAGTGCATCAGCTGCTCAATCTTCAGAAGAAGTCAATTATGAAATCAAGAAAAACGGAAAGAGACTGAGTGGTAAATTGTCTTCTGAATAACGAGTCACAATGAAAAGCAATCGTTCCAGGCGTCGATTACGAAGAAGTTGTTCTGACTTCGATTTCTAGCGAAGACAAAACCCTCATTCCCAAAGCAGCGTTTGATGTTTTACTGAAAGAGTATGATGAAGTACAGACAGAGAGTAAGGATTTCAAGGTAATACATTTTTAACCAGAAAAAATTCCTAGAAACTAAGATTTCAGGACAAGTATCAACGTTCTTTGGCTGAGACAGAAAACGTACGCCGTCGTGGTATCAAGCAGACCGACGATGCAAAAGTTTTCGCCATTCAATCGTTCTGTAAAGACTTGCTGGAGGTCTCTGATATTCTTGACATTGCTGTCAAGTCTGTGAAACCGGAAGAATTGGAGTCTGGAGGAAAAGCGTTGAAAGATCTATTCGAGGGAGTTTCTATGACACGGACTGTGTTGGCAAAGACATTTGCAAAGCATGGGCTTGTCACCGTCGACCCAACCAACCAGAAATTCGATCCAAATCTTCATGAAGCCGTTTTCCAAATTCCATCAGCAAATGTAAGGCTTTTAACTCTTTTAGCCTTCAACTATTATCACTTGTTACAGGCTAAGCAACCAGTCGGACATATCGAAGTCTGCACGAAAATCGGATACAGTCTGAAAGAACGGCCGATCAGACCTGCTCAAGTTGGAGTTGTATCACAGTAAATGAATAGAGCACAGATAATCAGTATTCTATGAATATTTGATATTTTCTTTTCTACTTTCTGGTTTTAGAATTTCTTGTAGTGTTTTAATTTTGTAAATTCAATTGTTCTGTTTGTTGTTTTCTTTCTCTTTCTGATCACTTAACACTTCTTTTCCGTTTTAGGATACTTTTCTTCTGGTTTTCTGTTTTGTTTCAAATGAATCATGGTGTCGATTGATTGCAAATCACAATATTTCTTTATCGATTTTTGGTTCTCTGCCTTATCATTATCTTCTTTGTCAAAACTGGTAACACAATTTTTTTTGTTTAAGTTTGTTGTAGAATGATCGACAGAGTAGCTGAAAATATTCTGCGAGTTTCGGTATGCGATGAAGGAGAACTCGAGAAAAGCACGTCTCATCTGATAGGGTAAAAAATGTTTAACCCAACCAAACAAAAATTTACATTAATAGGTCCCGGAAGATCGAGCCAGAGCAATGGATTACATGGGCCAGCGAGTGCAAATATCTTCCAGAGTCCGATGCTGTTGCTCTCTGCGCAACGTAAGGAATTCCACCAATCATTAATCAATCCTATATATTTCTTAGCTTAATAGACCGTCTTTCGATGGAAGCAAACGTTGTTCCAGTTTCCTCACCAGTTACAATTTGCGGTGATATCCATGGACAGTTTTACGATTTGTTAGAGCTTTTCAAGACAGGTGAGTGTTTTGAATTAATGTTTCTATATTTTTTGTTCAATATTCACTGGTTGTTTTCAGGCGGAACAGTTCCAAACACAAAATATGTCTTTATGGGCGACTATGTGGATCGAGGACACTACAGTCTCGAAACTGTTACTCTCCTATTCTGCCTACTTCTCAAGTAAGCTATTTTCAGTTCTTTTAAACAAGTTTCGAAATCTTGAATTTTAAGTAAAAACAACGTTTTTCAGGTACCCAAATCACATTACACTCCTTCGCGGAAATCACGAGTCTCGAAGGATCTCCAACGTCTACGGGTTTTACGACGAATGCCAGAATAAGTACGGACACGGAAATGTGCACAAATGGTTCTGCAAAGTAAGACAGAGCTCCTGACTGCAAAAATATCAATTTGGTGTTCCAGGTGTTCGATGTGCTTCCAATCGGTGCTCTCATTGACGATTCGGTTCTTTGCGTACATGGAGGACTTTCCCCAGATATCCGAACAATCGACAGCTTGATGCTGTTGGACAGAGCTCAAGAAGTTCCCAACAAAGCGAGTTTTCTTATAAAGGAATCGAAAATTAATTGGAGATTTTTCAGGGTCCACTTTGTGACATTATGTGGTCGGATCCAGATGATGAGGTGGAAGACTGGGTTATAAGTCAACGAGGAGCCGGATTCGTTTTTGGTGCGAGAGTGACAGAAGAGTTCTTGGTGAACAATAATCTCTCACTTCTTTGCCGATCTCATCAGCTTGTCGACGAGGGATTCAAGTATATGTTTGGAGAGAAACTCGCGACGGTTTGGTCAGGTTAGTAACATCACTATATTTGTTGTAATATTCTATTTCGTTAATTAGTCAAAGAAATGTATTTTTACAGCTCCCAACTACTGCTATCGTTGCGGAAATGCCGCCGCTGTCTTCGAAATCGACGGAAACAAGCGTTCAACCAAATACTTCAATGCAGTTCCAGATGGAAATCGAGAGAAACCAGATCGCGTTGTTGCTCCGTATTTCCTCTAATTATCTGAATAATTCCCATTTTTTTTCCTAAACCTCTCACCCTCTTTCCACGGCTACATAATTCAACCCTTTAGCAATATATTTTTGGAGTAAAACTCTAATACCATCTTATACTCTTCGTTCCCTCGGTTCATGTACTCGATCTTCAAATTTCGATTTTCATGTATTCATTCACTTGACTGTTTTTCTTTTCTTTTCCTTCTTACAATGTTTCAGCACAACACCACCTCGCTTTTCACTTCGTGTTTTTGTGTTTTTTGCTCATTATATTCATTTGAAATTTCTGTAAGCTTTGTCAGGGAATGTGATAATTTCGAATCTTTATTGATGGTAGTTTCCCAGAGAGACAAGCAGCAAGAAAATGTACAGATTTGACGACTAGTTGGCCAGTGATTTTCATAGAAAACTGGAAGAGAAGAGATTTACCCAGAGCACAGGGAAAAAACATAAAAGCAAATGAATGGTAGAAAAGACCCATTGGACAAGTGTGTTTAAAAAATTACTGTTTTCTTTTTTTTACGACAGATGTTCGTATTGTTAGTTGTTTTGAATTTATACAGAGGAATGGAGACAATGGAGCGGGTTATTGTCGAATTAAAAAAAAATGACACCTGAGAATTCGAAAACTTTTGCTTTTTTTGACCTACGAAAAAGTGCGGCAAAAACTTAATATTTCAGAATTTCGGCTCGTTCGAGCTACTTTCGCGTTTAAGTTTAGTTTTTTTTGCTAATAAATAGATTCTAGAGATGCTAACGATCATTTTTATACCAAGAAATCAAAATTTTGTTCAGAAAATCCCACTAAATTCACATAAATAAATTTGTTAACTACAGTATCCGTTTTCGCTCCGCCCCCTCGTAAATCGACACGAGCGCCGTCTCCGAGATTTTCAGGTGTCACTTTTTTTAATCCGACAATATCAGGTGACAGTAATATTTACATGACGGATGGAGGTGGTGGCGGTGGGTTGTTGTCCTGAAAATTAGACACTTTTTTCAAAGTTCCTTCTTATTCTGAAAAATTTTGACTGGAAACATAATTTTATAGAATTTAGTCAAGAAAACCATCGTGATGATTTTTCGTGTTTTGTGTGAGTTTGATGAGAAAGCAAAAAATTGACCGGTCAATTACTGGAATGAATTTTTAAAATATAGTTCACATACATTGTTTCCAGCACTTCCAGTTGGTTTTTCAACAGCATCCTCTGGCCGTGTTCCCGATCTCATTGAATTTGGTCTCATTACATAAAGTGCCATCGCCATAAAAGTCCACAAAAGAGTCCACATGAACATTGTATTTCCTCCTCCACCACTCAATCCATCGTTGTCACATCCGGTATCCGTGCAGTCGGCTTGAGAGTTTCTCAGCTGCAAAATTATTTTCTTTGTTTGCTGATATTTCTGGAACTCTGCAGAAACTATTCAGTCAGCACATTATTTCGCTGACGTAAGAAAATAGATTAGCACTCTTACCATAGCTAGAAGTCTTTGCATAGCTGACTCATGATCGAAGAAGCACTCGCACGGATCGCTCATCGTCTTCTGAAAATATAATAGTAATAATTTTAAAACTCGAAAAGTGAAGATAATTCAAAAAAAATCCACCTGAAAAGTTGGATTTTGAGAGCGAATTCGCAAAAAAAGAAGTGAAAGAAGAAGGCTGAAGCGGAAGGGAATGGAACACGAATGCAACGTTGCCTAACGAAACGAATGCTCAAATGAAGAGACGGAAGAGAAGACAGAAAAATAAAGCCAAAAAAATCATCTGTGTAGGCGGAGAAAGAAGAGAGAAACATAGATGGGTTGTCGTTGGTTTATGAATGTTCATCATGGGAAACAGGAAGTTCACATATTTCAAAATGGGAATCGAAACGGGCTCGATCGAAAAAGTGACTACAGTAATCTGAAATCAACGAAAGGAACTTTAGACAATTGAAACTTATTTAAATCAAAATGTTGAAATTCTTATTATCCTGAGCAGGCAAAAACACCTACAACTAAAAATTTCGCTTCGAAACGATTTTTATTCGAATCGGTCTTATGTCTTATGATGTTTCCGAACTTTTTTTTGGAGTCTCGCTCCCCACAGTAAAAATTGATCTGCAACACGGTGTTTTTTATTTTTCGGAGAGACCCCGGAAATTCCGGGGAAAAAACTCCGGAGAAAAGTGGGCGGTATCGGGGGCGGAGCCTAAATTGCAACCCTGGCA